ATAAACAAGTAAAAGAGTATAAAAAACAATACTGCAGATTTAAATTAATTTATATATAATTGCATCAAAGTCAATACATACTGAAAAGTTGAAGTCGAATGCAAAATATTTAGCTAATTATTATTATTTTTTTGGATATTCTATATTTATAACTTCAGCATATTTTAGAGAAGAATTCTTTAAGCCGAGAAACATTTCATAAATTTTTGCTACTATTGTAATTTTCTGTATCTTCCAGGTTCACTCTGGAAAAACCAAAGTTAGAAAGAATGGTCGGCGAAAAACCCACAACTAGATAAAGTCTTAAAGTTCTTGTATTTTTTGTTTTAAAAGACTCCATCACTCTAGATAGGGAACTTGGGAAAATATGTATAAATAAATTGAATGATTAATTGATAAATATAAATTAACAATCAAAAGATTTCAAGATCAAGCCAATACTAAAGAGCTGAGAACACACGAGTAGGTACAAAAAATTAGTTTGAAAATATTGCGCAAATTTTAAAATCTTCCTATCTGTTCATATTCAGTGAAGGCGCATAATAAATAATTCATACGATATCCTAGCAATCAAAGGCCACAACAAAGCTTGCAATAATGAAAAAAAAAAATTAATAAAATATTCAAATATAGACGAGCAGCATTTACGCCTCCTTTTTGTCTAATCGTATCGGGCGAAAGCAAAAATGAATTGAAACTGACAACAGCAGCCGCCAGCACCACCGCCACCACTGAAACCACTTGCCCCACCGCCGCCAAAAGTGTGGCGAGGAATGCAGCAAACTTCGGGCCGTGAAAGTGGCAGCAGCGTGAAAGTGAAAATGAAATGAAAACGCGGCGCCGACATCGCCACCGCCTGACACGAAAACCCACTGACATCAATCGGGCTGCGAAATGCGAGAGAGACGGAGGAGGACGAGAGCGGGCTAAAAATCATTTAAGCTAAACTGCATATGTCCATAAATTAAAACATTAACAAATTAAATATTATAACAACTGTTGCCGCCGCCGTGCTGCTGCCGATGACGCACCGCTTTATGTCACACCAATTAAATTATTTAGAAAATAAACAAAAAAAGAACAAGAAATTGTAGATATTTATTTGCATTTGCCATAAATTGGCCTTGAAACAGTTATATATACGTACACATATATATATATATATATGCTGATCCACCAGCACAACAGTAAACAGCTGCGCTTAAACAAAAATTGAAACAGAATGCAGTATCGGTGAAAAGAATTAGAAATAAATACAAACACACAAATATTTGGGGACCAACTGAAACTCAGAAATCTGTTTTGGCAATTCGTAAATACGACTATACCTACATACTATATCTACATACAGAATAATAAGCCAGATAGCCTTATCATTTATGTTCAAATATAACAAATGCAATATTTTCTGTATTTTTTTGGATGCTTCTACTTTAGCAAGAAAGAAATTACAAGTTATAGATTTACTCTGCAATACGAGTAAAAAGTGAATACGCGTATGAAATTACATAAAAATCTTTGCAGATTGTTTTATCTTTGTGAAAAGAGAGAGTATTCCCTTTTCAGCCTTTTCATTTTTCTCAATTATGGTATACTTGTATAACGCACTTCCAGCAAAAGTTCTCTATTTTGAAAGACAGAAAAATGTATAGATCCATACAATATTAGGGAGCTACTAAACAGAAAAAATTTATAAAAAAGACAACAACTTTTGAATAAAATGTTCTTTATCATTATGTACATAAAACGTTATATGTTTTTTAAAATATTTTTTTAGTATATATTTTTTGTTACAATGTAGGTTCCCAAAATTGTAAATTAAATGCCAATTACTTGCCCATAATTTAATGGATTAAAAATTAAGCCATAAATAGAAATATCATATTGAACTTAAAAAGTACGAAATTTTATAATTTAAAAAATATTTATTTAATGTATATAAATTTCTTATTAAAATTATATGCCCAAATAACCCTCCAATAATACAAACAAATAAACTTAACAACTTTATATAAATTGGTTGGGAGAAGGAAACATCGATCAATTTAATATTCTTTCTCCAATAATTGTCATAAATAATAAGCCTAATATATCTCGTAATATATGTAATTCAACCTTCATCGTTTAATATATTTAATCTACCACAATTTAAATCTCCTCTTATAGTATAAAATACTAGCCGAAAAGAATAGTACACTGTTAATCCTGTAGAAAAAAATTATAAAAATAATGAAAATAAATTAATATTATTAATTATAAAAACTTCTAAAATTATATCCTTTGAGTAAAATCCTGCTAAAAAGGTATCCCACAAAATGCTAAATTTGATATATTAAAGCAAGCAGAATTTAAAGGTATGTATATGAATTCTTAGCTCTAATTTTCTAATTTTAACAAAATAAACGAATTTTCTAAATTGGATTTAGTATGAATACACTCCCACATGGAAAGCAGAACTTCATCAGAAAAACCCCATCATTTCGTAAAGATCGTAAAATGCAATTATATCGATTTTCACAAATTTGTCAAATACAGACAAATTATTTTAATGAAATTTAAAATTGGCAAAGTATTTTAAACGGCCCCGTTTAGTAGCTACAAACATACGAGTATGTTAAAAACACAATTACTCGTGATTGCCAATGTTCTTCTATTTGGATTAAAGAAGAAAAACTGCAATTTTTGAGTCATGCTGCACTCTGCGGCCGCGTGCTGAACGCCGGGTGGGCGTGGAGCGTGCAGTTATCATCCAATGCCGGCATGTCTCGGTGCGGTCGCCGAAAGACCCCACCGGCTCTTTAGACGCACATAGTGATGAGTAAGCCGAATGTGCGGAAGAGGCAAAAACACCAAAATATACAGCAAAGAGAGGCACAAATTTTAGTCGATGTTAAGAGCACGAATTTCGAAAGAGTTGTGTGCTTGAAAACAGCTTTTTGAGGAAAGCTCTGGTGTGGTGAGTACAGCATATTTGAATTTATGTTTTTAAGAGAAATGCCACACAGGTCGTTAGACAAAATCCAATAAGAAATACTATATTCACGGTAAGAAATGGAAATTTGAAGCCGATTGACGCAACCCACAGAAATTAAAAGCCGCCCATCAATCAGATCACCAAACAACACAAAAGACGCGAATTCAAATGTGAATAACAAATAAAGATTTAAAAAAAATAAAATGTGAATAACAAATATTTGCAGTGACGTGCTGTCGCTGTCTACCAACAACAACAAAAGTCCCACTCGAATTTCTCAGAATGTATCTTACAGATACGTTTTATTGACTGTACTGCAGCGCCAGCAGCGCACTGCTCTGCTCTGCTCGGCCCTGCTTTCGTTCAACGGCAGCGGCAAATGCGCGACCTTGACCGTGAAATATAAATTTAGAAGCTATACACACCGCCGGCGACGACTACGACGTAAAAAATATTCTTTAAAGAGCTTTTGCAGCGCGCACAATATCTATTGTGTGTGTGCCTGTGTGTGTGTGTGTTTGCTTGTAAATGCAACCAAGTGGCTGGCGTCGTCCGCTAAAATGCCAAACAAAATGCCACAGGTATTCCCTGCCCTGGGCAAACGAACTGGGACCAGAGCCCAGAAACCCACCAGTCCCGGTATCAGTCCCGACCCATCCAATTCCCTCCCGAAGCGGTCCCATTTCATGTGTCATGTGCCCGCTGCATGTGACTTATGTAAATATGTGCCTAAGTATGTACATATCTACATATGTGTGTGTGTGTGTGTGTGTGTGTGTGTGTGCAAGTTTTTCATGTATTTTTACAAGTACGCTTCAAAACATTTGACTTTTCCGTTTATTTTTACATCGGCCAGACGCCAGCACATTAATTGAAATTTGAACCACTCTGGTGACGACGCCGGCAACAAAAGGCCGCGCAATATAATATAAATGTCAGACAATTATGCAAATTAGCTGCAGAACATTTGCTTTAGTTTATACTTGTAGAATTGATGTGCTACATGCAGCCAAATCAGAATAGGAATACGCTGTGCCAAGTGGTTATGAAATTCAGCAACGACCATTTGAATTATTAGTGAAAACTTTCGCAGCTATTTTTCACAAATTTGCCAAATTTTAATCTCATATGAATTTAATATTTAAGTGGCATTTTATTGGCTATATAAAGTGGCTGACAAAAAAATTGAAAATTTGCTAGCTCGCTTCTGATAATTTGCCAGTTCTTTTGAATATAAATAAAACATATTTGCTGGAGAGTGGTTTAAAAATAATGATTAACATATGAGGAGTTCCTTTCCCTTCTCCAGCCTCTCGTACATGTATGTTAGTAGTCGTGAAACACTTTAAAAGTAATTTTAAAATCCTTATGGTTTTATTTTCTTTCTATTCTAAACTGTCCCTAATTCGAAGGCTTTCGTTTTTACGCCCAACTTAACAATAATTTGTTCTTAAATGTAAATTCATCCAAGATTTGAATAGGCATTTAAATATTTAAAATAAAATATTTATATTTAAATCTTAAAACCATTAACATTAAAATAGACCTTCTTTAGAATTTTGATTTCGACCTCAGACAAATAAATTTTTAAATGTAAATTCATCAAAGATTTTAATAGGCATTTAAATATTTAAAATAAAATATTTATAGTAAAATCTTTAAACCATTAATATTAAAATAGATCTTCATTAGAATTTTGGTTTCGACCTCAGACAAATAAATACGCCTTTTATAAATTTGAAAAGAACCGATTGAATTCCTTTCAAAATTGTATATATTTGGATCAGAACTGAAGATAATAAAGGCCGCATCGTTTGCTACTTCAATTATCGAACATTTTCAAACTGCCGCTAAAAGACAAAATTTGTCAAATTAGTTAAATTTATTGCCGCTTGGTTTTAAAGTTATTTCTTTGCCCAATTTTGCCGCTAGATGGACCCCTTACGTGATTTCAGCGAATATCGTTTTGTTCAACCAATTTACAATTCAAACGGCTGGCCACACAGACGCGCTCAGCTGACTGTATTGGCGATTTGATTAAAACGTGGGGACGCCAAAATGTTGGAGGAGCCTTTCAGCGAATACTTTCTATGTAACTTCAATGATGCTGTGCAACCAGAGGGTAAATATTCCCGAAATAGAATAAAAAATAAACATTATTAAGCTATCGTTCTAAAGATTTGCCGGATGAGCGTTTGCGCAAACTGTGGACCAACTCTGAATTATGGACAGTGGAAGAGCTTGAAGCGATCGTCAAGTGTTGGCAATTATGCGAGAAGACACAGCTTAAGAACCTGGAGACGGCTACAGAGTTACTCGGCAACTTCGTACAGCTTATCTTAGCGTTTGTACAAAATAACTTCACCGGTCCATTCCAAAAGCTGGCAAAATGCACGGAAATGCTGGCCAATCTGAAATTGGAAGGGCACGAGCCGTTCGAGCTACTTAAGGCCAGTGGCGAGGAACCAAATCCAAATGTGAAAGCAGCAGAGCTCCTAGTGATAGCCAAAGAAATGCTCGCAACTCTGATAGCAATCTATCCCACATCAAAGGTATTTTATCAGACCTTATTCATGATTTCTGAGTATATATCGAAAAAACTTTCCCACAGATTCTCGCTTGGTGGCAGCTTCGACTGATTTGTCTGCAACAGCACATACTCGACGATTTGGCCAGCGAACTTTACGAACAATTCAAGCTTACGGTACCGCTTTTGCGTCCGCATTTGGCAGCCTTTCCCAATGTCGAGCAGCAAGGACTGTTGCTGCTGGAGTTAGCCAATGGCTATTTACAATTCCATCGCTCCGATATGGCTGCGAAAACCCTTGACGAGTTGTGCGCGCATTTGCAGATTGAACTGAAGGTAGAGGGGTTGCTGGGCGTGCGCACTAAATTCCAACAGAAGCCGCTACCACAGCTGTGCCTCAAAGTGGACCAAGAGGCGGCGGAGCCTAAGTTACCCGCAGCTCTCATCACTAATGCACACACGGAGCTGCCCAAATTGCTGCTACTCGATGATGACACCCGCCTTGAGCGCATCCGCTTCATTGAGCCAAAAGACAATGAGGTGATGACGCTGCCCAGCTTGCTGCAAGCACTAGTACTGGCCAAGGTGTAAGTGCATGAGAAGCTCTACTGTCTGCATTATTTACAATGATTTCGATTCCACAGTAAACAATTGAAACGCTCTCAGCCGAAAGATCGGCTGGCCGATGAGGAGCTGGAGCCCTACACACATACGCTGCTGTATCAGACCCACGGACCACTGCAGGTGCGTCAAGCAGCGCTGCTGCTCAACTGCTTGCAGGAATCGAACCAACGTCGCACCGTGGAACGCAGTTGGAAGCAGTGTGAGGAGTGTGTGAAACTGCTGGACAGCGAAGAACTCCATACGGAAAGGGAACGTATTGGCTATGCATTTGCCGCACAAATCTTACCCAAGTGGCAAGTGCAGCTGCAATTGGTGGACCTGCTACGATCTCTGGGAATGACAAAAACGGCACTGGACATATGCCTCAAAATACAGGCCTGGCAGCAGGTTATCGAATGTTACACCAGCCTCGAGTTGCGTCACAAGGCCGCGGAGATTATACGCCAAGAGCTGGACAAGAAACCCACTTCTCTGCTCTATTGCCTGCTGGGCGATGCCATCGACGACCCCACCTGCTACGAGCAGGCGTGGGAGCATTCGCGCCGCACTAGCGGCAAAGCGCAGGCCTATTGGGGTAACTACTATTATAGACGCGCCGAGTACGCAACGGCAATGGAGCACTATGAGCAGTCGTTGGAAATAAATTTGCTGCAGGAGTCTATTCTGCTGCGCTGTGGCTACTGTGCTATTCAATTGGAACGATGGGAAGCAGCTGTGCGCTCCTATCTGGCCTACACCCATCTAGAAGCCAATGGCTTCGAGTCGTGGAACAATCTGGCCAAGGCCCTGATCAAGCTAGGCGACAAGCAGCGTGCCCATCGCGTGCTCGGTGAATCGCTCAAATGTAATTACAGCAATTGGAAGGTGTGGGAGAACTTCATGCTGGTCTCCGTGGACACGGCTCACTGGGAAGACGCCATGCGCGCCTATCAGCGTTTGGGGGAGCTTAAGCAGCACTATTTGGATCAGGAGGTGCTCGCACGCATTGTTTATGGCATTGCCAAGCAGGTGTTTGAAATGACGCCGCCTCAAACTTCCAGTCCTCTGCTAAAGCACGTAACTAAACTCCTGGGCCAGCAGTGCATTCAGCATGGCAATGAGCCTTTGGTATGGGAACTGGCTGCTCTAATGGCGCTTACGCCTCTGAAAAAGGGCGAAAGACTGGTGAAGGCTTATCGTGCGTACACGGCCAAGCATTTAAACTGGGAAACAAAGACGGAGCACGCCATCAAGGCCTTGAAGTTCTGTGTAGAGGTGGCCGAACTATCGTTGGCAGCTGTGTCAGAACATGCTGAGGATGAAAGCGCCCTGACAATCACCTCACAGATCAGCTCGGCACGTTTGGCGGCCACATCCTGTTTAAATGCCCTCAAGCGTGCCATCAATGTGGACGTGCCCGAAGAACAAACCGAGCTTGTGCGTCAACTGGGGGAACTGCTTAACCAGCTAACAACGACAGTGCAGAAACGCATGAACCCCACCTAACTTATAAGAAACACAATACACATTTCATTTAATATAAACTTGTGCGTCAAACCTTACTAATTAAATTGGTAACTGGTAAATGTATTCAAAGAATTTGGGCTGATCCCATAATTTAAAGCTTTTGTTTTTATATATGAATGTAGTCTCATTTACCTGGATGCTGATCTCATGAACAATTTTCCAATTTCGCATTATCTTATTCGTTTTAAGTCACATCCAAAGGGAGATAGGTCGATTATGTACTTTATTTTCGAAGCTATCTCAACCAAATCCGATTTTTTGTTGTTGCAGCGAAGCGTTCCACTAAAGCAGCCACAAAAACGAGTCGGCTTTCAAAAAACTGAAAAAGTTAAAAGATAGTAAATGAACTTTATAAAAAATTTTTTTCAAAAAGAAATGTAAACAAGGGTATAAAAGCTTCGGCGCACCGTTACGAAAAACTTCTACAAAACTGAAAATGTCTTAAAATTTTCAAGTTTCTTTAAGTGTTTGCGTGTTGTGTTATTTTTCAAATCACCTTCTATGAAAACCAACCGGCTCGACGAAGTATTCGGTAACAAAATAATTTAAACAGCTGGTCACACTACCGGTCCAGCTGATGAGCAATCGAAGAGTCTTGTAAATAAAAAGCGCGACCTTATTGAGACAAAATCGCCATGGCGAGCTTTTCGACGCAAAACGAATCAATTCCGACAATGACCCCCGATGAGATCGCCCAGGAGGAACGTATTATTAAACTGCACGACCTTATTGAACAGAACATAATCATTGGTAAGTCTTACTTCGATAATGCAGTGTGGTTGTTTGGAATTGTAAATGGCGGGAATTTTAAAGAACAAGAAGTCGAGGGCAAACCATTTGAAGATTCGGTGACTGCCATTGAGAATATAATTAGGAAGGCGAACACGATAGTCAAGGGTTACGAGCAACGTCAGACCAACTCCCTGGAACTAGTCCTTGACACTGAGCTGCTCAGACGCAACCACGAAGTCATTGGAAAGGCCATACAATGCAGTTCGACCATCACGGATACAATGTTCTGCAAAGCAATCGTAAGTAGAATGGAACATATAAATAATTTTTTTAAGCTAATTCATAAATAAGAGCGATGTAGTTTGCGATGCTGATGGCACAGAGGATTGGGATAAATTGTGCGGGATAGCGTTAAAGTACGGCCGCAGTCTATTTACGAACACCAGCATTTTGCCTTTCATCGATGTGAAGCCAAAGGAGCACATTCCCAAGCAACGCTCCCAACGACCCAAAAAAACGAACGTATGATGGATTTCTGAATATATATTTAATGACAACTAAAGTGAAAATGTTCTTTGATAGGTGGAGGAAAAGCGTCCGTCAACAAGTCATAAACTAGAACGCAAAGATGAGGGCTCAGCGGTGGTGAGCAATATTCACAAAGAAATAAAGATGATTTACAAAGCCGGAAACTGCCAACCAATACCCTTCTTCAAACTAATTATCGATCCTGATAATTTCATGAATACTGTACACAATGCGTTGAACGTATCGTTTTTGGTAAGGGAAAATGTGATATCAATTTCCAAAGGCGTTGATGGACTTCCTCAGGTTGGAGTGGTCACCAATCCCACCGAAATTGCTGACAACGAACCCTTACAGAATATCTGCCGCATAGATGCTAAACTTTGGCAGGTAAAAACATCTACCTACCTTCATTTAACATTTTATTTAATTGGCTTTCTTCATTACAGAGATTCATCAAACATTATAATATTAAAAAGCCAATGTTAACATCCTTCAAAAATGCCGAGAGTTAGAAAACGAAACGATCAAAAAACATGCTTAATACTCAGCTAATTAAAGCAGCATTTTTGCATATCAGGATAAACTTATATACTTTGACATTCTCCTCATTAATTGATATTAAACATATAGTTTAAATTAAGTTAGGCCTTAAAAATGTGTATGTATGTCTGAATCTAAGTAATGTTCATGTAAACAGACATATAATAAACGAGTAGAATGTTAAAGTCGAGTCGTCGAACCCATACTTTTCCCAGGCACAATCATTCAACTAAATAAACTCGCCAGCTTTGTTTGTCGATAAAAAGACTATAAAAAAAAAGAATGTCTTCAATCAATCGGTGAAGAGCTATAGGAGACTGAAGAATTTGAACAAACAAACATTAATACTCCATATTTATTTGGAAAGATTATTAAAGTTTGTACAGCTTCTGTGAAAAATGTTTGTAGGTGCAATCAAAATAAATTCAGCTTGGTAGCTATTATCACACGAACGCCCTGATCGAAAGCCCCACATACGGCCAAGCCCAACTTATCAGGATGCCAATCGTAGCAGTGCACGGGCTGTGTGCTGAGCGTAGCTGCGCTGAGCATTTCGAGTGTGCCGGCTACACCCATTTTGCCGCCATCCGTGTCGTCGATGACACGCTTATCCGGATATTCGTATTGCCACAGACGTATGGAGCCGGTGCCGCCTCCGGTGATGAAGATATCACGATTTTGCGGCACATGGCGCACAGTCCAGACAGTAGCTTTTGGTCCACTGATCACACCATTGGTTCCTACACTGCGTCCGGCATTCCGCTCCTCCACATAACTGAAGCCCTTAATTGCATGCTGTGTGCGCATATCATAGACGAGTAGACCGCCCTCCAACGTTGTCACAGCCATCTTATTCATGGGAATATCGCGGCGATCAAATTCCAGCCCACAAATGCCATTCTTTAGAGTTGTTTCCCAACGCACCGCCAGCGCACGTAAATCAAACAGCTTGAGATCGCCATTGTCGTAGCCGGCGGCCACAATACGTTCCTCGTTGTTAAATGTGTTTCCAAAGGCGACCGCCCAGCAGTCACGCCTTGTGTCGGTATTCACACCATCGCCCATCTGCGGAGCCGGCGATATATCCACCACCGGTGCTTGGCCCTGGCGTATATCCCAAACCCTGACGGCCCCGTCACGACTGCCAGTCACGATTTCTGGTGCCCCGCATTCCAACTGTGTGCCGCCTATGGCATCGATAGTATTGATAATTGTGTTGTGCGCCTTAACATTATAAACTGCCAGTTCGGGATGTTCCAAGTCCCTGTAATGCTTTAACATCACTAAATGCTTAATTAAGGGCGCTTCTCACTTACAGCACTTGCAATCTTCCCTCAAAGTCTCCTATGGCCAAATGACGATTTCTCAGACTCGCCGCACCAAACGATCCGCACTTGAAGGCCGCCTTTTTTTCCACTGTCTTGATCTTCTCCAGTTTGTCCTCATTCAGTTCATAGATGTCCATTATGCCGTGGCTGTTGGGCTTAGAGCCGAGCACCACGAACTTGGCTGACAGTGGAATCCATTTGGTATCGTAGACAGTGTAATTGACGGATTCATGTAAGTGCTCTAACAATTGAGGTTTATCCATGTTGCTGGGATAAATCAAATGCTGTTCGCTCAAGTGGTATTTGCTTTAATTCTAGAATGAAATTATGTACACTAAAATTGCTAGAATGTTCAAAAACGACTTGTTTGAAATGCGTTTCCATAGTTGCGCAGTCGAAGTTCATGTGATTGTACAAACAGCTGGTAAGCAAAATACTATCGGTATCACTACGATATGGTTATTTTTAAATTTTCGGAAAATTCACGATGTACGTTATTACAAATCATTGGCCCGCTGGATATATTTAGTTATTTACCCAAACACAATAATATTAGATTAATTCGAGCAGTCTTAAGACTTTAATACTGAATAAACTCTGTCATCGATAGATTTGCACGTTACAACTTTCTGGCAACTCTGCTCATTTTCTACGCACAAAACAGTCGACACAACAGCTGATTTGCGAAAAAGCTTGCGTTTGCGCTCCCGGGTTTTGTTTAGCATTTAATAAACTCATAAAGATTAAAATGACGATTAGAATTTTTCCTATATATGTTCCAATTAAATATTGTATTAAATGTCATTGCAATATATAATAAAAGCTTTATGTCATTAAAAGCCGTTAGAGTATAATATAATCCAAATGATTTGTATATACTTTTGGATTCGTTTATTGTAGTTATATTTTGGCCCAAACAACAGAAACAAAATATAGTAAAAGCTTCAGTCACGACTCTCGTGGTTTTTTGGTTTGCAAGTTAGTTGCTTGTTGTCGCCGTTCGCGGACGTTTGGCTTTTTGCTTGTGTATGGACGACGCGATTCTTTTGCCTCTCTATTCCGCCTCCCACCCGTCCCTACTCCACTCACTTGGTCGTTATTGGTGGGTCACTGATATTTCGTGTGTGTGTTTGTTTTTGGCGCGCGCCTTTTGGTACTGATTTTCCTCTCACACAAAAACAAAACAAAATTTCCTCTTTGCCGCAGGCATCGGTTAAATAACAAAAAATTGTGCATAACAAAAATAAAATAACGGGAAGCACGTGAATTAAATGCTTTGTTAATGCACAACCTGAAGTTACAAGCGTGTACTTAAATACATAGAAGTATAAACTAGCTATAAGCTCGCTTTAAAGTTGTAAATATGTATTTAACACAAGTGCTAATTTAAATTCAATTTTAAAAGTTCTATTATAACGGAAGGTGCTAATCAAATTCTGTGCGGGTATTGGCAACAAGTGAGACTACCTACAATATTCATACACACACATATTTATGTGAATAACAACAAATACAAGAGGCGCCTATCAAAAAGTTGAAGGTGACAACGCGACGCGATAGTAGCAGGAACAACAAAGAACAACGAGAGCATTTGCACATTTAGCAACAATTAAATGTTAAATACATTGCTTTCTGCAAGGTAATAAAAATGTTGAACTATTTCATTTGTTGTTCGGGTGCCTGTCCCTATTTGGCTTTCTTGTTTTGCCTCGATTTCAATTTAAGGCAATCAAATTAATTGACAATTCTTCTGGTTTTTTCTTCATGCTCATTTCAGTCTACCACTTGTTTTGTTTCTAGGGTGTGTTGTGTTTGGCGTTTAAAATGCGGCTTCCCTGTCCCCACCACAGTCCCCAAACATGTCAACATTTGTCTCAGTTCAAGTGCACTTGACACAAATATATGTATGTACTATGTACATATATGTATGTATACATACGCCTATTTAAGAAGCATAAAGTGGCTATATAATATACATATGTACATATGTACATCTTTATTTATACAGTTGACGTCTTAAGCGGTCACCACCTCGGCTGCTCTGGGCCTATTTCGTCTTTATTCGTTTCCTCGCAGAGCAAATATTCCAGGCGCTCTCATTTTATGGCCACCGAGTGGTGCGTCCGTTTACTTAGTAAGCTAACTGATTGCTTAGCTGGTTATCAGCTAACTAAGTAACTTTCATAAAACGTCTTTAATCTGGCCATAAAAAGTGATAAAATGTACATTTATTGTACATACGAGTGTATGACATTTATTGATTAAAGCTCTTGGCACCTGTTGCCACTTTCCGATTTCTTATAATTGGCATTTTTTTTTGGCTGGGGCTACTTTTTCATACTCGTGACGAATGCTTACTAATAATACTATATATATAAAATATAAGACTAGATAGACTATTAACCTCGAAATAGCTCGACGGTGAAATAGCTTTGAAATTGTGGACAGAGAAGAGAAAAAATATAAAATAATTTTGAATTGCCTGGGGATTGTTCATGGATCAGGAAAGAGTCCACGAATGGGCTCAGCTGTTTCCGAAAATTCAAATGATCATCGACTTGTCTTGTTATGGTAGTCAAGAATAATTATATGCTCTTACTTTTCTGGAACTTAATATGCAAGGCAACAAATGGAACTCTAGATTATACGAATACAGATAAGAGTATTGGAGAAATTTGATCGAAATTCGGTTGCATATTTTTATTAAATTTGCTCGTTTTCTTTCTTATACAAGTATTTCCACAAAAAAGGTCTTTGCTCCCGGCTTATTTATTTAGAGCTTTGCCTCCCGCCTGAAGTTAAAGTTGGGTCTGCCCGAAAATTAATTACTCTGCACAGTTTTGAGTGTAAGTCTATTAAGAATTAGCCCAATGAATTAACCCATAGACATTTCATATAAATAGAAGTGTATTTACTTATCTTGTCATGCTTATCAACAAAAAATTCTGTGACTTTCCATGCAATTATTTGCCTTTATTCATGAAATTGAAAGTATTCCCAAAATTGAAATAAAATTGTTTCTAACACGCAGCAAACGATTAAATCAAACTTCGGGGATTCTTTTTCACAACTAAACGAAATTATAGTCGAAATTAGTCGCCACATGCGTGACATGTTTAGAAGCTCAATTAATTATAAATGATGTAAATAATATACAAGTATTGCAGGCCGAATTTTTCCTATAATCAAGCTTCGATTCGAAAACTTTAATAGACACATAAGACAATTATAGTAAGGCCTCGTGACTTCAATTGGATTTCATTTGTACGCTCGACTCTAAAAGTATATATGTACAGACATTTAAAAGGCAAATCAGGTATTGCTCGCTGTACACTTTATAAAAGAAATGTATTTAGTTAATGCTTGAAAGAAGTTATATGTAATTCCCCAATAAGGAAGTAATACTGTAATTAACTCTGCCTTTTCGTTTGTGATGTGCGTGCGCCAAATAGAGTAGAAAACCCATACATATATGTACGTATTGGTATTTCAATTAAAAGCTGCCCCAATTGTTTTATTTACTTCGTTCGCTCCTCATGACTTCTGTGGAAACGGGTTTGCCACACAATTTGTTGATGCAGCTACATAATAAAAAAACAATAATTGTACTCTATAAACAATGATGTGTGCTCAACAAGCAAACATTTGGTTTGTCAACTCAGCGCCATTATTATTGAAAACGTTGAACTAAGACAAAGGAAATATAAACTCGCAAATTTCTGAAAGATACGAGTATACAACAAAGAGATATGTACATACATACATATGTAGTATGTATGCGAAGCAAACAGTTTTTGCACGTGTTTGCGATTCCTATATATAGCTTTTAAACACACACCCATACACCGGAAAATATAATGGGCTAATGTGAAGAATTTCACGGCAAGCACAAATCGATGGGCAACTGCCATTTGGCGAAACATGCAACTGTTGCATGCAAGCTTAACAAGATAAGTGCTCCTAGGCGGCCATTCCGTTGATCAGCCCACATATGTATACAAACTTACTATATAAATACATTTAGTAACCACTAGTAATTTTTGCAATTGTTGCAATTATAATGGGGTTGGCCCAATCACACTTGGCTTTCCGGCTACTGTTGTTTTGATATACTAACGTATTTGTGTGCGAGAGTTTGTTGCTTCGCTCGCTACTCATAGTTGTAAGCTTTCTTATCGTTTGTGGGGCACTGAATGAAGCCACATAGTATTGCTCATCGAAAATGAACTTTGGCATTTCGCAAATCGAATCGAAAGCCAGATACACAATATACACACTGAGTCTGATAATGGAATAAAAACTTGCTAATGTTTGCATATTTACGTCTAAAAGTACAAAATGGGAACCTGAAATTTGTTGCCGATTTCGTCACTAATGACTATTATTATCAAACAAATTTCAAATTCCCCAATAAAAACAATTAACTTCAAATGCGGAATATGAAAGATATTAGGTAAAATTTCAAGCAAATTCCATACAGATATGTGCAGCGGTCAGTAATGTATTTATGATATATGAAAATGGTTTCTAATAATTTTCGAGTTGAAAGCAATTCACTGAATTAACAACAGTATAGTATACTGTCTAAGAACAGAATACGAGCGTGAAATTTGAAAGAGAAGCAATCGCGTCTCAGCTCTTTGTCTTTATCGCCCTACAACAATTTCTTAGTTGTCTCTTAAAAATGCTGAGTCATTGTACTATATTAGATGCCAATTCGGAGGCGACTCTTTAAAATGTAGTCATATTATTTTCTAAGAATTTGTGCTTCTTAACGAGCGAAAATCCCCCCTGGAAGAGCGCAGAATGCCACTGAGTCTGTGCAAATGAAATAATATGTTGTTTAAATAATGTCTAGCGTTTTGTTAAATGTGCAACTCAAGTTTATAAAAAGCTTATTTAGCTTATTTAGTCGGTTAGTTTAAGCTGCAAGACAAATAATAATTCATATAACATTTTTATGTACTTCAACGTCAAGTTTATCTCTCCCATCACATTTAGTAACAGCATGTGATCAGCGCCTTAGATCAGACAGTTCCAAGTTTTAGTTGTACTATGGGCGTGGAAAAAGCTGAATGTGCTGCAAAGTCTTACATTTTCATTACAACTGGTTAGCTGTTGAGAAGCCCTAAAGTTCAATATGGTTGAGGTATTCTTTTTTTTCTGTTCAAATCAAATACAACACAGTTCTACACATACTATACATAGTACGTAATCATCAACACTAAACGACTAGAGTCTGATATCAATACTCCTGCCATATGGACGTACAGTCATTGCCTGTTCCATGGCCGTCCCTCATCGAACATAGATAATGACAAGGGTCGGTTATCGCTTATCGGTGCCAGAAACAAGTGTCTCTGCTAATGAAAATTTCTGGCTAAAGTGCGTATAGAATGTCATGTGTTTTTGAAGTTGCTGTCAATTTTTGGCGCCGTTCTGTTTGCTAAAACGTTGATTAATGAATTTGATTAGCAAATAAATTTGCTGTATGCCCAAGACGATGATAGATTCAATGCATTGATAACGTTTGCGAATCGCCACATTACGGTCTTTTGCACCCAAAACTGGTTTACTTTTCATTTCACCTTGAGATTTGTAATTTTCCTCCAATTGCTCCACACATAGCGGCTACTCGAACTAATTATAACCTTGTACGGTAACACGGAATGCCAAGTGCTTTAGTTTAAATCGTTTTTATGGAATAATTATCCATTCATTCCCTTTCAAACAAACCATGCAAAAAAAAAAAAAAACAGATAATTATCGCCGCAAAACTGTTGAATCAACACGTGACATATGTATGTGAGTTAAGTGGTATTGTTATTTCAAAACTCAATGAACATGCAATGAGCTTTTAGATATCGACAGGTGTGACTAGAATAATATAATCGAAATCATTTCGCATTCAGATTACGGTTCTAGTGGAAAGTTTTCACATTTCGCAAGTCACGAGAGAAAAAGTCAAACAACAAGAGCTTGTCGAAAATAAAGAAATTGTCCGTCTACATAATCGAAACTATTCTTCTAAAAAACAATTGTATTTGCGTGGTAGACTCATTGGTATCCTCGGTAACTCGATCTATAATGTGGAACTCTACAAAAATTTACGAATTCATTACATTTTTATCCTTTCTTTCTATTTTGTTAGTTCAAATATTTTCCTTATTATTGTTGTTGATTTCATGGAGTTGTTGATATGATATGTTTATGATATTTTTCTAATCGTATGTGTCACAAAAGCGATAGTTAAACCAATAATTTTGGGTGTGCCAATGTCGATTTATAAGACTTAAGTGCAGTAAAATTTTGATTGAACAATAAAGTTGGTCATACATGTTTTTAATCACTTAAATTCTTTTTTTTTTTTTAAATAAGGAGACCTATTTTTTTTAGTTTGCTGAAGTAACTTGCAATTAAATAGCTTAAAATTAAATAAAAAGGTTATATACAATTTTAAGAAAATGATCAAATCAATAGAAAATTGTTTAAAGTGTGAGATATGAAATCGTAGACGCTAAAAGTGTTATCAACAAACGATAACAGCACTGTTTGACCTTAAATTACGAATAAAAATTCAAGGTGGATAGTTGAATTGATGGATACGTGGATAGGTAGATCGTTTATGTTGCTTTATTTAAACGAAATGAAGATCATTATTCATCATAAATTGTTCATTTAATGATAGACAACAAAGGCAAATATTATGTACTCGTAATGCTAATTATATATATATGTATTCCTTCATATATATGAGTACATAGTCCAATATTAAATTTGTTACATCTTTAAAGACTTGTCTTCCAAGTACAATTGAGCCTATGTGAAAATAATCGATACAGGTTTAAAAGAATTATTTACAACCAAAAATAACATTTAATTGAGTACTTGTGGCCGAAATTTAATGACGCTTTTTACTTACTCGTACCATTGTTAGCTAATCTATACTGAGCTATTTAAGTAGTGTTCCCACGCACTTATCACACGCTCATTGAATGCGTCAAATCAATTGAACTCCCATGCCACACACTGCCACAGTTCCTCTCTGAAATTCTCTCTGAATTTATTGGGTTGCACACCTTGTGGTTGATAGCGCTTATGGGAAATGTATTTAACGTTGAACTTGACCTTGTGACTCGATTATGGTTATGGCAAGCCGGTTGACTAAGTCGCTCAATCCAGACGCACGGTGGAAACAATGACGATTTTCGATTTGCAATCTCACTGTAACAGTTTCTGCTTTACTGGCGACGAACCGGTTTTTTTTCTTTTTTTGTTTATCGCTTGGATTTTATGGCAATGCCGATGGTGCGCGGGGATTTCGGGCAGTTAGTCTATGGAGTACCAGTTGGTAACAGTGTTGAAACATATCTTGGACATTAACCCATTATCCTACTTAGTAAGCTTTATGATAATAAAAAAAACGCAATTTTAAGAAATAACACATACTATGTGAATGCCGATTACTTGCTTTCGAATGAAAATAAGTCAAGTAAAGACAAAGTGTTAGGGTTAGGGTTAAGGTATGTTGATTTCCTATTTAAAATGCCTGATTTCTAAACTCTTCTTATATAAGAAATGTCATACTATATTAACAAGTAAATGTAGTATAATAGAAGTAAAAAGTATAATACTACGAGTATTACAGTAGTACTGGCATAATAGGAAATTGTAGAATCAAATTTGGATAAACTTATATGAAATGCATAATATTGTTGATGAAAACTAATTTCAAGAAAATGGTTCAGAATTAAGTTTTTAAAAAACTGGACTCAATCGTTGATTTTAAAAAAATTGGTATTTGAATTCACGCAATGTTATCGCTAGGTTTTATAAGCTATATATAAGCTATGTTTTACATTTTCGTTATTTTTTATTCTTCGAAACTAGTAATTATACACGTAATCCGCTTCATCCATTTTTGAGTTAGTAAGCGACACTAAACTTTATGTGCAAGTTCTCAAAGATTAAAGCCTCAAAATCGACTTTATATAATAATAATATATTTATTATATTAATATTTAACGACTAGCGTACTAACTGTAATGCTAGAATAGAGATCTCAAATAAATAAATAAATATTTAATTTGATTTCCCCTAGGTTGGTACTTTTAGTAATCTTCGATACAATATATTAAGTTGTAAGATATGAATTCTCAGAATTTAACATATCCAAATTATAATATTATAAGTCATAGGTAGCTATTTGGGTCGTCAGACGACAAACAACACAATTGCCAACTCAGCTCACAAGCCCTAAAAAGTCCCAAAAAAGGTATATGCAAATAAATAATAAAAAAAGAAACAGACTCATCCTTTATTTGCTAAATAAAACTGGCAATTAGCGAGTTTGTCAGCACTCCCAAGTTCGTATTGAATAATTTCGGACATACCAGAAGTACCAGTATGTGTATCGTAAGTAGTTGAAAAGCCAATTATGTGTAAAATGGATGATCTGTTTATCTCCTAATTGTAGTCAGACAGTGGGTGAGAATCCGCGAACGTCGCGACGTTCATAGACAATTATCAAATACTACCTATGCGTAATCGGGAATGGGCACAGATAAGCGCTCAGCGATTAGCAATTGTGGGTTAGAGACAAGCACGCATACCTCTCGCGAGGTATGTTTTTGTTAGTCGATGAGCTTTGGTCAGACATCGGATGCCGCTTTTGAACCCACATCCGCGATGTTGATCCAATGATTTGATCAATTAGACGCTGGTGCTAATTTGCAGAGAGTAGACTATTCGTAGAACCATGAGCAAGTGTGAAGTTTGTATATAAAGAGGTGCGTGAGTAATATGACCATTTAGTCGTCAGCTGAACATCAGTTGTGGGTATAGTAAGTATTAATAGACGAATGTGACTTATGAGGACTAAGCCTTTCTTTTCGGTCTATCCTTCTATTTACAGAAACCCAAACACCTCCTGAGGTCAGTGCGCAAGAGCGGCTGGAGACGACTGAAAGACTTACATAATCGACAACAAGGTCGACACAGACTAAAGCAGACTTTTGACGAAGCTGGTACTTCGTCGATAGGCGGCCCAAGTCTAGCCACCGGTGCTGTACCCAAAAAGCGGCCGTTTTACACAAACACCCACCCAAAAGAAAAAAATAAAAATCCCACTACCCTAGAGGAGCTACGAGGCGAACAATATCATCGTGAACTGCTTGAACATCGCTTTACCGATGTGGAATATCTTGAGTTGAAAGAGCCAAGAATATCACTAACAACAACAGCAACGGAAGAAACCTCAATTATGGCCAACGACTCAGATAGCCAAGAGTAGGTCTTCACAACAATCGAATATCTCGCAATTTCTAAGAACTCTACTCTTTTGCAGATCGCGGCCATTGAACAACAATAATGGAAACGGCAGCGCACAAATTAAGATTCAGCCCAAGGTCCAGCCAAAATACAGTGTCCATCGAGATGTTCTCAACCACGAGCTGGTTATAAAGCAGACGGGCTATGCAGCCCGGGACAAGAGCATACCCTCCTCCCTGCGCAGCTGCTGGCAAAGCTGGTCCTTCTTTTCGCTCTTCACCGGCATAATACCCATACTACAATGGCTACCTCAATATTCCCTGCGTCGCGATCTCATTGGCGATATCATTTCCGGATTCACAGTGGCCATCATGAATATACCGCATGGCATGGCCTACGGAATGCTTGCCGGCGTCTCAGCGGGCAATGGCCTCTACATGGCCGTGTTTCCAGTCCTAGTATACATGGTTCTGGGCACATCCAAGCACATTTCCATAGGCACTTTTGCGGTGGCTAGCATGATGACCCTAAAAGTGGTGCAAACATACGCCACAGTGGATGGGACGACGGCGACAACAACACCCGCCACTCTCTTGGTGAATGCTACCTCAACTTTTGCCACCCCAGTGGCAGGAGATGCGATAACTCCGGTCGAAGTGGTTACAGCGTTGGCTCTAACGGTTGGCATTGTGCATGTAAGCTTTCAAATATGTAATACGAGGAAACAATTCTTGGAGTCTTTTATATGTACATAAATATCTATCTGTATTGAAGAAGAATTAGAACCTCTTATATTGACTATTTAGCAAATATTCAATTGGGCTCGTTCGATTTGTTATCGATCATTACTAATTTCACCTGCTGACCGCTGTGAATTAGAACCTCTTATATTGACTATTTAGCAAATATTCAATTGGGCTCGTTCGATTTGTTATCGATCATTGCTGATTTCACCTGCTGACGGCTGTGATTTATGATTCGGATAACTAAAATTAACAGTCGAAATCAGAAAAGAAAAATCGGAAAAATGTGATTATTTGATTTAGATTTTTCGATTTTGACACTACAAAATGCACCCCAGCTGCTGTGACTTCTTCAAAAATACTAAAATCAGAGTATTTGATTAAAACAGTCATCACAAGCGATCGGCAGAGGCAAATCAACAATCGATAATCAAAAATCACAAATCGATACAACCTGGTGAACGCGCCTTAAACTTTAATCAAAGCAGTATAATAACGATTCTTCTTTTCAACTCCTACCGAATTTTTAAAATGTGACAAATTTGTGTGCAAATTTTTTGCCTGTCTGACCGTAGACTTAGTTAAAGAATAGAATCAAATCCTTGGGTTGTTTAGAGACGTATCTGCAATACTGACTCCCGTTTATTTGTAAATTTGCAGCTACTGATGGCCCTATTTCGACTGGGAACACTCGCCTCGCTACTTAGCGATCCGCTTGTCAATGGCTTCACCACCGCCGCTGCCTGCCACGTGGTAACGGCACAGCTGAAGGATGTGCTGGGCATCACTGTGCCGCGCTACAAGGGAGCCTTTAAGATCATTTACACCATCATCGATGTGGTCAAGTCGGTGCCACAGACCAATCTCATCAACTTTGGCTTCTGTCTCTGCATCTTGCTATTCATGACCATCTGCAATGAGTGTCTCAAGCCCTGTATGCGTAAACGCTGTCGTTTTCCGTTACCCGCCGAGCTAATAGCCGTCATTGGTGGAACTCTGATCTCGCGTATTTTCAACATGAAAGAGAACTACAAGGTGGAAATGGTGGGCGTTATACCCAATTGGCTGCCAGTACCGGAGCTACCGCGTCTCGAATTGGTGCCAGTGGTGGCTGTCGATTCAATTGCCATTGCTATAGTCACTTATTCGATTGTGATGTCAATGGCTCTGACTTTTGCGAAAAAGCACAATTACGAGGTGCGTGCCAATCAGGAGCTCTTTGCAATGGGCATTGGAAATATGGTGAGCAGCTGCTTTTCCTGCATACCTATGGCCTGTTCCTTGTCGCGTTCAGTTATCCAGGAGCAGACGGGAGGTGTGTCGCAAATAGCATCGCTGGTATCGGCCTCACTAATAGTGGCTACTATTATGTGGATTGGACCGTTCTTCAGTGATTTGCCGAGGGTGAGTAATGAACATTATCTTTAATCCGAATTAATTTTGTTTAATTCGATCAAAATAGAATTCAGATCAGGCCCAAACATGTCTGAAACAACCATTTTTTCAATGACAGATATTAGATTCGATATTATGGAAATAAAGGGGGTTTATATATTAATTTAATATTAATCGGTGCAGACAAATGTAGCTTATCGACTCGGTTGTTATCATCACCATTATTTCTATTATTAGTAATGAAAAATTGGATTTTTTCAGTGCGTGCTGGCTGGTGTTATTATTGTTGCCCTAAAGCCGATGTTTATACAGGCTAAGGAGTTGAAGAAGTTTTCCAAACAGGGCAAGCTTGAGATGCTCACGTGGCTAACCACATTTCTTTGTGTGGTGCTCATCGATATTGACATTGGGTAAATAGATGAACATGAATTGAAATCGTTGGCGACTATATATTCAACTAAAATTGAATTTCAGTTTGCTTATTGGCATTGGCGTCTCACTGTTGACACTGTACATTAAAGGTCTCAAGCCTTATGCTACACTACTGGGATACATGCCGGAGGCGCCGGGTATCTATGTGGACATCAATCAGCATCGTAACGCTATGGGGGTGCCGGAAACACGCATTTTCCGGTATTGCGGATCGCTCAACTTTGCCACCAGCATGTTCTTTCGACGTGCGCTCAACGAGCACTTGGGCTTGGACAAGAAACCCACCAAAAACAGTGCCAAATACACACCAGTATTGCAAAATGGCAATATGCGTGGTGCTGGTGAGAAGCGGGGCAATGGCGATCTTTCGGATTCATCAGACTTTCGCTTCCTTATCTTGGACTTCTCGATGTTGGGGCACATCGATGTGGCCGGATGTCGCACACTGAGTGAAGTAAGCAAGGAGATGAAGGCGCGTGGAGCTCGTCTGCTCCTGGCCAGTCCAGTGGATCGTGTCTATGACACGCTCGTGCACAGCATGGCGCTCAGCGAGGGTCCGTTCGAGATATTTCCGACGTTGCACGATACCGTGGAGTATGCCAATGCCAGTCGGACCGCATGAGAAGAGGATCGCCCGGAAGAGGGCACCTTGTGATCTTTCACAGTGATAGATTGTGGATCGTAACACCAAAACCTATAGTTATTAAGTTTTATAGTTTGTTGCCGACTTGCAATCATGGCTTATTGTAAGCTTCTAGCCCAATACTTAGCCTAAGTTCGTTTTAAGTGCCTGCCCTGAGCTGTGGAACCCGTTGCCTAGATTATTGGTAAGGCCTCAAGCACGACTCTGTTTCGTTTACAAAATGCCTGTACAAAAATTTTGTATATGTATGTAGTTAACAAGCGTTGTACTTAACAAGCAGCGGAAGAATCGGAAGTGTGTTCTTCTAGTACCTAGTACCTGAGCACCGCCGAGAAATTGAAACCGTGTAACTTATTTTGTGCAATTTGTACCAAAATGATGAACAATTCAATTAGATGTTAATGTTTGTACATAAAATGAAACTAAAATCTAGTAACAAAACTTGTGATTTAATTTTTTTTTAAAACCTATAAATTGTTAATTGGAGATGGCGTTTTAAAAGAGCTTAACAAGATGATGATTTTAAAATTAAATGCTACCCACATTTAGCCCTACCATGATATTTTGTTCACTAGAGCAAGTGTGGAAGCATGGTTTCTCACATGAGAGAGAAAAACAAACCAAAATTTAAAACCAAAATTTAAAATTTTCATTTAATTTTGCCCAATTAGATTAGAGTCTACAATTGTAGCGAAGGCGCTCACCACTTAGTTGTGTTGAAAAAACTGGTCTCCACATGGTTAACGCTTCTGCCTCGCATTTTAGCCAAGCCTCAACACAGTGCTAGCAATTTTAGCGAAGACGCACACCTCTGAGTTCTGTATCTTGCTTAAGTGAGAAAAACATGTCTCCATATTTTTAACACTTCTGTCTCGCAGTGCTGCCATTTAAGCGAAGACGCACACCTCTTAGTTGGGGGCCTTGCTAAAATGGGAGAAATTGGTCTCCATTTTGTAAAAACTTCTGTCCCACATTTTAGCCAAGTCACACCGCAGTGCTACCCATTTCCTTTTTTTAGTTTGTTTTTCCAAACTTATACTCGTACATATAATAAGTACATAATATCATGTATTTATAAGAGTAGGAGGAAACATCATATTTGCGATCTGTGAAATAAAATCGCAGAACTCGGCCTTAATCGCAAAGTGACGGAAATACCTAAGCGATTCGTTGAGAACCTTCAGCTACCATTTGAGTTGTGTACAATCTTTAAACAATTAGCACGCAGTTGACGATATTTTTGGGAATTTCGTGCTAATTTGTTTGTTTGTTATTGTGGGAGGACGGCCGACCTGGCAACCAAGAAGGCGACACAATTGTTCGAGCTGTCGGCAGATCGATTATCAAAGACACGCGGATCTGAGACTAAGGTTGAACGCACCGAACACGTAAGTACGATACCTTGGAGAATAGTTCAAGCCGAATAAAACAATTAAGTTACTTAAATTATAATGTTACATTGAATTATTGTCTTTATCAGTTGTCCCTATAACGCAGGAATTTCTCACATGCGCAACACTTGTCGTCTAAGAAGCAAAGGCAGTTTCATAATCAATTTCAGACTAAGGTCAAAGTTAATGCAGCCTCCAATTCCACTTACATACTACATACTCGTACACACACCCCATAGATGAAAAATGTTTAATTTGTTTTTTTTTGTCAGCTTCACAAATTGTTCGGTTGTTTAGCACTTTTACGGCTGTGTTAACACTAAGTGTGCAACGCCATCGCCCACTCCACAACTCGTCCCCCAAAATCGGCCAAGTTGCACAGCAAAATATACGAGTATACAAAAAATAAAACAATTACTGTGCCTGTAGTTGAGTTTGTTGTTGTTGACGGCATTTTGCATTTTACATGCTGTGGGAAAATTTTGCGTTTTATTATTGTTAATGCCATAAAAATTTATTTGTGCGAGTGTGCCTGTAAAAATGTTCGATGCTAGTGATTATAAAACATACCGTTTAGCTGGACAGTTAAAGTTTTGATATCTAGTTTTCTTTAAATTTAAATTTGATCTGTTTTTTGCTTGAAGTTATGTTTGCAAGAGTTATTGAAAATACAACCTTGATATTGGAGTGTAATTTGATTTAGTTTAAGCTGGGCTTAGTAAAGTAATTATTTATATGCCTAGTAAGCTCGTCTACGATTTCATCTTAAAACTAAGCTTACTCCGGGAAAATGAAGAAGTTCTGGTTGAAGAATTAGCCTTTTCGGCGAAGATGAAGCCAACATATTTGTCCCTTTTACCGAAGGACAGCTGCGTAAGATATTATATTTAAAACAGACCATAATACAGTAGATTTGTTAAATTTTTTAATGAAAAGAACTAAAACACCCAACTTTTTAAATGGGCGTTTACCCATAATGACCATTTTTGTGGTTTACCCGCACCCGCAAACAACGTAGAAAATGTTAGTCATTACGAATTTGTACGTTTTCAAGGTGTCGTTAAATATAGGTAAATAATTCTAAAATTATAATTTGTTTTCGTACAATACAAGTTAAATTCGGTGTGTGTGGGTCTCGTTCAATTTTTTTGAAGGTAACAGACTTCAATGGCGTTAAATTGTTCACACGGCTGAGTCACATGAGAATAATGGAGCGAAAGGCATAGGAAAACTTACACACATCACAATTTACAAGTATGTATGAACTATACTTGTGTTAATAAAAGCCAGAACGCAATACGCAAAATACACCAAAACTTTAAAATTGCAAACTCTTCAGTAAATTGAGAATTGAATGTATCGCTAGAACGTGAAATAATGTGTGCTATTAAACTAAAAATCAAAGTCATTGCCATTATGAATTTATAATGAACTTTAATTTCGCTGGCAGAACAAATAAAATTACTTCAGGAATAAGGATTACAACCACGAACGCATTTCATTACATTTGGCTAAGAAGCTGAACAGAATTTAAATTACATTTATACATAATCGTATCTGTTAGTTGCAGTGAGTGTTATTAGAATTTTGATTTAAGACACAGTGAAGTTTATATAGCTTCGGCCCAGACGAATATTAATTCTTAGCTCGTTATGTGTCGCTGTTTTGTTTATACCTATAATCACAAAAATTGCGCCTGCTTTAAATATATACTCGTAGCTGTTAAACCAACTGAAAAGGTTGTTAAAAAAAATTTAATTATAATAACAGCAACAAATTGGTGTCTAATTAATGAACTGAAGTTTGATTTTAAATTATTGATTATTGATTGTTGCTTAAATGAAGCCGTTGCCAAGAAAAAGGATAGGATTATTAATAAGAGAGAGGATTATTAATAAACAAATTGGTGTCTAATTGATGAACTCAAGTTTGATTTTAAATTATTGATTTGATGTCCCAACATTTCCCCATCTGTAGGTATTTCCGATTGTTGCTTAAAAAAAGCCGTTGCCAAGAAAAAGGATGTTCAGTACAGGGGATAGAAAAGTGAGCACAAAATCGAACCTGTTCACCTGCAAGAGAGGATTATAAATCGGCATGTGAATCGGCATTTTGAAAACTGCATCGAATGAACGAACAACAACAACAAAGGCTCTGCTACTCGCACAACAAAAACAACAGCAGCAGCAGCAGTAACTGGAACGTGTTTTGTTTGCTCAACACATTTTCACACACAAAGAGACAAGAAAAGACTCAGAAGCTTTTGCGGTTTGTAAGCGCGGCCGCCACCACACCCCCTCTGGGCGTTCGTAACACGTCTGTCTCTCTCTCTCTTGCACCTGTGTGGCTGGGGCCGGAGCCGCAACAGCCGCTCAATTCGACATTGCTGTAATATTTGTTTTTGCTGGTGGTTTGTTTTTGCGGGAGACAAGACAACAACGAAGCTCATTGTGATCGAAACTAATAAAAAACCGAGCTACCAAAGTGTTCCCACAACCAGTCGAAAGCACGCGCTCGCGAAGTTTGGTCGAGTCGGTGGTGAATTGTGTTTTGACGTGTGGGAGATCGATCGGTTTTTGAGGAACAGTCGTCGTTGCTTCTTTCCCACTCAAGAAAAATAGTCAAAATAAATTACAGCAAAATCAAAAGTGAGTTAACACTGTCATGCCTGCGAACTGTTTAAAGGATATGCACAAACAAATATAATAACTTATGAGATTTGGCACACTTGTTGCCGTAAATTATGGCACAATACTTAGTAGTAAAGCGAAAATCAAATTGAAAAAGTTGTTTGCCGTCAGCGCAGCAGCATGCAATGCCCGATACACAAACAACAATAACGATAACAACAACAACAATAACAGCAATAGCAACTAAAAAAAAATTCAATAACAATTATCAAGTGTTTTGTGTTCGCATGGCGCGCATGCGCCGCACAACGCGATCAAAAAGAATTCACAAAAGCAAACGAAAAATAAGTTTAAAATAAAACTAAAAAAAGCTTTAAAAAAAATTGCAACTACTTGCACAATGGAGACATGAGAGCGGCATCCGCTAAATGGCCTTTAGCAATTAAAAAGCGAAATTAAAGTATTATTAAGCACAGAGATTATGTAAATATTGTTGAGAGGCTGGCAGGAACACGGATGTGCTTTATCGCAAATATTGCCCGTAATGCCATACAGGGTCTGTGCAATAACTAAATATCAATAATGCGCTGAAAATCGTATATATTAATGAGGTCATAAAATGCAGTTTCATTAATTATGTAATAGACATACTTGCACAAATGTATAGCTTGTATTAGCAAATACAAGCTTTTTCAGCGCCACTCCTATGTCTCTTAGTTTTAACGAAACTCTTTAACTTTTTGTTGTGCTTTCGCCATTTCTGCAGATAATATTCAAAAGAAACAACGATTGTTTACAACATTCGTGTTGTGCACTGTCCAATTTTGTCGTATTATTAAGTTTTTGATAAAAAAAAAGGAAGAATTAATTCCAAATACCTAGACGTGTTTGTCTATATCTTCGAAAATTACAGTAGTACTTACAATAAGTGGTTAAATATTTCTAGAGGCAAAAAATGTTATATTGTTATTCATTCTTCAGACATAAATAGAAAAATTATTATTATACTTTGAAGGAATGGAAAAGTAAGAGAAACTCTTTGGATCAGTAATAGTACTGATTAGAAAGAGTTTGGGAAATATTTAATTTATTCCAAATTTCAAATGTAATATCAAGTGAAATCTCACTAAATTAAATTAATTCGTTAATTTGAATCCGGTTATTTATTTAAAATATAATATACGGAATATAATAATGGTTGTATTGGCTGCTTTTTATGAAAATACACTTCTTATACGCAAACTAGAAAAGAATTTATAAATGACAGTTCGATTGCCTGAGAATGCGATTTTATTTGATTTATTAACCTAACAAATGGTATTGGCTGCCAACATACTCATATGTATATAGGTAGTATAAGAAATACTTAAATTTGAAAACCCACTTTTAGATAAGGAACAACTTTTACAATAAAATTAACTTTTCCATTGTTTGTTAAATTCACACTCCACGTTCTGGCAAAAATAAAACTAATCAATGACTATAAATAATGCAAACATTTCCACTGTCTCTTTATAGCTTTCCGTTCCCGACGATTTGTGCAGCGAACTGCAACTGAGAAATTCGCTACCGGCTGCGTGCGGCTTTAAATTAAATTAAAAGGCATTTGCATAAAACTAAACCGCCAAAATTGGTTACCTAACGAAAACCTCGTTTGTGTTAAACGACACCAAAGTAAGTGGATATGAAAAATTTCATTAAAGAGGTACGGATACAAATAATACGTTATATAGCATAGTCGTGTACAATTAAAACCCCTTTTTATTCACAATAATCTAATTATTACTTGCGATCAACACCTGCGTGCTAATAGTGTAAGAATATTAACAGGTTGCCAGACTATATGACATTTAGATTCAGCTAATTGATTTTAATTAATCAGCAATATTCTTGCTTTATCACAAATAAATATGCATTTCTATAAGAATTGGGGATTGCTCAATAATATGCTGTCAGCATTTTCTTTTGCTAAATACGAGTAGGTGCGAAATTTTATGGATTTTGTTTTCTTTTTTATTATTAATTCACCCGCATTTTTCCTGATAAAGAAGAGAGTTTTGGGTTGGCAATATTTTGAGCCAATTTATAAAAATCGATATCGTTTTGATATATATTTTCTAATCTTATTTTCATTTCGATATCCATAATACACGTAATTCTGTTTTTACACGGTAGATTGGTTCCAGAAAAAGTCGTGTAAGATATTGATCATATTTTTTTTTTAAATCGTTCTAAATGGAATAATGTCGTGTAACCATATATACATTTTTTAATTTTCAAACCATGTTAAATTAAAACCGTGTACAAACAGAATTAGCTGTATAAGCATTACTTAATGATCTGCCATTACTATTTGTAATTTTTTAATACTATTCAAAGAGACTTTTAAAATATGAAAACCCCACAATTTTATTTGGTAGAGGATGGTTGGGCAATTCCAAAAAAACCCCAAATCTTTATTGGCGATCGTCAACTGAATCTCATTATTATGTGTAGCACGTCGCTCCTCCAAACATGAATAGCTGTTAATTACTTTGCATTTAGTTAGAACGCCTCTCCGCCCACAATTATGTTATTACGACTTTCAGATGACTTATACCCTTAGCTGTCATTCTAGGCACGATTTCTTAACATCTGTGTACATACATAGTATGTACTCGTAAGTGGCTAGGAATATCGCAAGTACGTAGTAAATGAACAGTGTGAGAACATTTTTAATAACCGCAATTAACTGACGAACTACGACGAGCTGCTTATTTAAATTTCAAAACAAGTACGCCCGACATCTCAGCTCAGAGATGCCATTTAGATACAATTCGCTTGACTGGCATTACTCACTACTAAAATGAAGTGCAGTGCCTTGTAATTACATTTAATTTATGTTTAGAACAACGTTGTTCAAATGGATTCAAGGCGCACATCTCAGTGTGACTTACGTGAATGTGTTTATTTTTTGGTAGATCGTGTTTGGGATAATGTAGTCCAATTAGTCGAATTTTGGAGCGGTAGCTTTGATTGCACTAAGTTTATAATTTGTGCATAAAAACATACAAAAGTACCTGTCTGTATCCAAGCATGTGTACATGAATATATGGGTATGGCGAGCAGAGATAAGCTGAAAGGCATAGCCATGAGCTCGGAGCCCAGTGACAAGGCTAACAAGCGAACAAATTGGAATTTCATTTAACCTCTCGCGTGTGCGTTACACAAAGTAACGCATTAACAATATTTACTGGTAAAGCATGCATAAACAATTTATTAAGGAAATGACACTGCCTATAAAGCAATAAGACGCACACATTCAATAGTTTACAAGCGAGTTGAAAATTGAAAAACAAAAATTATAAACTTTTTTGTAGGTAGCCGAATTTTAGGTTTAAAGAATTTTAGAGGATTACCTAGATAGTGTCATTATAAGTTCTTGTTTTTTCAAAAGAGAATAAATACAAGCACTGTCTGATCTGCAATCTAGCGATTTTAAATATAAAGTTGGTTAAATTTTTTTTGCCTCGATGGTGAATAGAATTCGCAACGACATCAGTTTCATAAAAAAATAGAAGCAAATATAAAGTGCGATACGAAAAATTGGAGCACATTGATTTAATTTTTGGGTTGCTCAGCAACTGTATAACGCAAAAAAGAATCTAATTTAGATATTATAATAAGTAAGCAGTTAATAATTAGTTTAGTGCCACATATCAGCCTAATTTGAAGTTCGCATCCTCAATAGTTTATGTTAACAAATAGCAACACTTGGATGCAAACTTTTATTCCAGCTTTTATATTTTCTGAGACCCTTGTGTTCATCCAGACAGAAGGACGGACATGTCTAGATCGATTTGTCTAGCCTCGCTGATTAAGAATATATATACTTTATGGGGTCGGAGATGGTTCCTTCTGCCTGTTACATACTTTGCACAAGCCTAATATCCCCCTTTTTACCCTACGGGTACATGGTATAATAAGTAAGCAGTTAATAATTAGTTTAGTGCCACATATCAGCCTAATTTGAAGTTCGCATCCTCAATAGTTTATGTTAACAAATAGCAACACTTGCAAGAGCACATAAGCTGTAGCGACCAACTTGGCTCAAACCAGAGGTTCCACACCACACGGTGGCTGTAACTAAGCCACTAAATAAACAATCAAACACACACACACACACACACACACACGCACATCAACAGCAAGAGCCACAACAACAACAACAACAGCAGCAGCAACCATGCAACAATAATAAACATTTGTTTAGTGCACGACGACGCGTCTGTTACGTCGTTGCTGTTGTTGTTGCCTTTGTTGTTGTCGTTGTCGTTGCCGTCGTCAGACAACAAAGTGTGTCATGGCTAAGTGTACTTTAGCGTCGCATACCGCGCATGCGCAGACGATCGCTCGCTGGCACGCATTGCGCGTCAAACAGCCGCGCCGGCAACACCTGACTGGACAGCATTTTAACAGTGCTCTGTTATCTTTACAGGACTACGACATGGGCTTCAGTTCGCGGATGGACTGCTGCGGGCAGTTCGTCAAATACAGTCTCTTCATAGCGAACTTTGTCATATTTGTAAGTGCCGCCCACAATGCTAATCTCTCTCTTAGCTAATCCCCCTCTAATCCATCTCTCTCTCTTTCCTGAACAGGTGGGCGGCGCTATTGTGTTTTGTCTGACACTTTGGACGCTGGTGGATCGCAGCTTTGTCAATGAGCTCTTGGGCACGAATCTGTTCTCGGGCGCTGTTTATGTGCTGCTGGTCACATCGGTTATCATTTGCATGGTCTCGTTTCTGGGCTGTGTGGGCGCTGGCAAGGAAGTGAAGTGTCTGCTATTGACGGTGAGTGTCGAATATATTTCAAAGCGAAGCTACCACTTAACATATTGGCTTCTCCCCATCTAGTATTTCATCATAGTGGCTTTGGTTTTCGTGACCATGCTAATTGGCGGCGTCTTGGGGTACGTGTTTCGTGAGCGTGTGCAGCAGACCATGCGACAGGTAAGCAGAGGGAAAAGCCAAAGTCTACTTGGCTCATTAACGCCTTAAGCACCTACAAATGAATGGCATTAACCATCTTCACCAGGAAATGCGCTCGACTATGGCGTTGTATGGCAGCCGACGAGAGATTACACAAGCCTGGGATCTGACGCAGGAGCGTTTGCAATGCTGTGGCGTCGATACCTGGCACGATTGGAATCGCTACGGCCCCGTCCCAGAGTCCTGTTGTCAGGAACTGTTTGGCGGACAGCGCAAGGAGTGCACCATCTTCCCAACAATCACGAATTTGCACAACCAGGGCTGCCTGTATGTGACGACCAACTTCATCAGAGATCATGCGGCGGTTATAGGCGGCACTTCTATAGCCGTAGCCATTCTCATGGTAGGTGGCATTGCTCTCGATTGAGGGATCCCTATTAATCATTCATTCATTCATGAATCTTTACAGATATTTGGCATGATATTCTCCTGTTTGCTCTTCAATATGATTGAATAACACACATAGGAGCCATCGGTCGATAGCGCATCAGAAAAATCAGCATCAAACCCATTTACAATATTTATCCACAGTTCTGCTCAATGAGTATTATCCAAATGAATGATATGTTAGCTTCTCGTCTGTATTATAGATATGTGCCCTAGCCTCTACATGTAATCCGAGTTATTAATTGTTACATACTCGTACTTATGTATTTTTGTAATATTTTTATTATACTTATTGCGTTTGTTAAAGTTTAGTCGAATGAAGATGCAATCGCCCAGCAATGAGTTGGCCTTCTATGTTGTGTAATCGTATAATGAATTTAGCTGTACGCATGTTACTGTAAACATATACTTAATAAATCTATGCAATTTTATTAGAAGATAAGAACATAACCCTAGAAAGAGTTTTAATGCCTTACAAAACTATTATCAAGTTCTGTGGAATTTTGCAAAAATTATAGAACAGCAGATTTACCTTTGCAGGTATTACAAACGATTTTCTAATTACATTTGACAGCGAAACTTGGTGTTACCCATAAAAAAATCTCGAATATAAAAATGAATGTTTAAGTCGGAAAACGAGCAAGCAGCAATCAACCAAAACAAATGAGAATAATTCTTCTTCTTCTTGACTGGTCTTCAAACCCGTTATCGGGCTATGACCTGACGTAACACAGCTCTCCACGCGCCTCTGCTTCGCGCGCGTCGCTTCCAGTTGGTCACTCCGCAGGTAGTAAGTGCGTTCTCTACCTGGTCCTTCCAACGTAGGCAAGGCCTCCCCCGTCGTCGTCTCCCCCCAACATCCGCATCGAGAACTTTTTTCGCTGGGGCGTCTTCTTCCATACGCACGACATGACCTAGCCAGCTTAGCCGCTGGATGTTTATTCGCTTGACTATGTCAATGTCAGCGTAGAGCTCGTACAGTTCGCTGTTCCATCGTATGCGGTAGTCGTCGCCAACGCGTATGGGACCGAAGATCTTCCGAAGCATCTTTCTCTCAAACACTGCAAGAGCTGCTGCATCAGTCTGCGATATCACCCATGCTTCTGCACCATAAAGCAGCACGGGGAGGATGAGCGTCTTGTAGAGCGTTAGCTTGGTTTTTCGGGAAAGGTCTCTGCTACTCAATTGCCTACTGAGGCTGAAGTAGCATCGATTGGCTAGAGTTAATCTCCATTTGATTTCTAGGCTGACATCGTTGGTTGCTGTGACGGTGGTGCCAAGATACATAAAATCTTTCACCATTTCGAAAGTATAGTTTTCCACCGCGATCTGGGAGTCTGGTTGCCGCGTGTCCCTGCTAGAGGAAAACATATACTTAGTTTTGCTCTCATTTATCACCAAACCCACTTTTGCAGCTTCCTTCTCAATAGCCGCAAATGCTCCGGTGACGCCTCTCCTGGTACGGCTGATAATGTCTATATCATCAGCGTACGCAAGAAGCTGAACGCTTTTAAAAAAGATCGTTCCGCCTCGGTGCACACCAGCTTTGCGCACCACACTCTCCAGCAGGAAGTTGAAGAGATAGCACGAGAGGGCATCGCCTTGCCTGAAACCTCGAACGGTATCAAAGGGTTCGGAGAGGTCCTTTCCTACCTTGACGGAGCTACGAGTGTTGCTCAACGTCATTCTGCAAAGTCGCACTAGCTTTGCAGGGATACCGAACTCAGACAGTGCGGCATATACACGTTCCCTCCTCGGGCTATCGAATGCTGCTTTATAATCGACGAAAAGATGGTGGGTATCGATTTGAAACTCATGGGTTTTCTCCAGGATTTGGCGTAGCGTGAATATCTGGTCAGTGGTGGATTTACCAGGCATAAAGCCGCACTGATAAGGCCCAATCAGTGCTATCGCAAATGGCTTTAGCTTATCACACACTACGCTTGATATGACCTTATATGCGACGGAAAGAAGGCTGATTCCACGATAGTTGGTGCAGACCGTGGGATCACCTTTTTTTAGGACGGGACATAGGACACCGAGATTCCAATCATCAGGCATGCTTTCAGTTAGCCATATTTTGCAGATGAGCTGGTGCATGCACCCTACCAACTCATCGCCGCCTGCCTTAAACAGCTCCGCAGGCAGCCCATCTGCTCCCGCAGATTTGTTGTTTTTGAGCCGCTGGATGGCTGTTTCGACTTCGTCATGGCTAGGTGACGGTACTTCAATACCATCGTCGGCGATCGGTTCTGTGGGGTCATCTCCGCTGGCGGAATTGTTAACATCTTCGCCTGATAGAAGATTGGAGAAATGTTCCCTCCACAGTCTCAGTGCCGCTTGCCCGTCCACCACCAGATTTCCTTCCGAGTTCTTACAGGCTGACGCTGCGGGCTTAAAACCTTGTGTTAGACGCTTCACCTTCTGGAAGAATTTCCTAGCGTCGTTCCTGTCTCTACAAAGCTCCATCTCCTCTCGCTCTCGCTTTTCTTGCTCTCTCTTCTTGCGTCTAAAAAGCCGCCTCTCCTCCCTCTTCTTCTCCCGATATACATCATGCACAGCGCGCGTTGTCGCCGTCTGCAGGGTTCTTTTGTACGCGGCATTCTTCGCTGCAGTGGCTTCGCGGCACTCCTCGTCGTACCATTGGTTTCTCGGTAGCGGCTGTTGGAAACCAATGACATCTTCTGCGGCTGTGTGCAGTGAGCGGGAAATATGTGCCCAAAGTCCGCTACCAGTATCGGTTTCCGAGAACGGTTGAGAAAGCAGCTCAGAGAGTTGAGCGGAGTAAGCTTCGGCAGTCTGTTGTGCTAGCAGCTTTCCGACTAGTTTTCGCTGCGTGTTGGGGCGTACATTTTTCGCCATGCATAATCGCATGCGGACCTTGGCTGCAACAAGTTGGTGGTCCGAATCAATATTCACACCACGGAACGTACGCACGTCCAGCACACTGGATGCATGCCTTCCATCTATCACAACATGGTCTATTTGATTTTTTGTCATTCGATCGGGTGACTGCCAGGTAGCTTTGTGGATATCAAGGTGTTCAAATCTGGTGCTACTCACCACCATGTTTCGTGCTGCGGCGAAGTCAATTAGCCTCAGTCCATTGTTGGATGTTGTCTCGTGGAGGCTGAATTGTCCGACTGTCGGGGCAAAGACGCGCTCTCTTCCAACCTTGGCATTAAAATCGCCAAGAACAATTTTAATGTCATGAGAGGGGCAGCGGTCATAGACTGTCTCCAGTCTCGCATAGAACTCGTCCTTGGTAATCTCGTCTTTGTCCTCCGTCGGAGCGTGGACGCAAATCAGGCTTATGTTGAAAAATCTCGCCTTGACACGGATGGTTGCCAGCCGTTCGTTCACAGGTGTGAACCTAGAGACACAGTTACGCAATCTCTTGCTGACCGCAAAACCGCATCCAAATTCGCGTCTTTCTGCATGGCAGCTGTAGTAGATGTCAAAGGCTGCTCTTTGGGAGCAACCCTGACCTGTCCATCGCATTTCCTGGATGGCGGTGATGTCAGCTCTTACTTTATTGAGAGCATCCGCCAATTGGATAGTAGCACCTCCTCTGTTAAGGGTCCGGACATTCCAGGTGCATATCCTTAAATCGTGGTCCTTTAAACGTTTGCTAGGGTCGTCAACTTTTGGGTGTTCCTTATCCGAGGCTGTTGTTATGTCCTTCACTGGGAGTAAAAAAATTTTCATGTGGTGGGTCCCAAGCCCTACGCACAAAAGCGCTGCACACATTTGCTCACTTACCAACTCCGGATGGAGCCGGAAAGCTACCCAGAGAGCACCGCGAGGAGGTCGTGTGTCAACTTGATGATGGCAGAGACAAAGATCACTCTGGCCATTTCCACGTTAATGGCAGTCAGGAGCTTTACATTGTTCTACCAAAATCCGAGCCCTCCCTGAGAATAATTCAGTAAGTTGAAATACAAGTAAATAGATTGTCACAAGTGATAGCAACAATAAGGTGCCTTTAAAACCAGTCACATGGAAACGTAACAAGGCCTAGAAACAATCTCAAAGTAAACGGCTTTATAGAATGACAGTCATCGTCAATTTGTAAAGCTCTACTCCTCTTCAGTAATGTATTTGACTATTGAAAATTTTACAATTTTGAACTTCATGGAATATATTTTAGCTTGCAACTAAAAATTAAAAAGTAATACAAACTTAGCCATGATTGGTCATGTATTCTGTGTTCAATTTTTACAATTTGGGACTTAATTCCTTATTATTGCTTGCTTATATTGATATTATTTATATTATTTGCTTTGGATGTAATTAATCAAATGATTTTATTGGGCGATAAGTCTTTTATTGACTAATTTATGAGTTTGCGACTAATTATTAATTGGCTTAATTACTTTTAATTGTGGTTAAGATAATGTCAATCAATCGACGCATTTAAGTACTCGTACTCCCAACAAGCAAATCTATCATTTGTTTTTAAACACGCCTTATTGTTTCTTGCTGGTAAACCAAACTTTCATCACAAAGTATATTGAAAATTAGGCTTAAGCATAGTTTAGAATCCGCTATAATTATTCCAATCTTAATAGAATCTGCAGATGGACATTACGTAAAGCTAAGCTGACCCTGCACTGCATTTTGATGACTCACATTTTATATCCTACAAACATACAAACAATCAAATCTTTCCTCTTTATAATATTAGTAGAGATGGATATTTAAGCCAAGGCTTCATCTAAAGTTAGTCTCTTCAGAACTTGAATCTCTCATGCCCGCCTGCGAAACCGCTCCAACAAATATCTCAACTTGAAAAGAAGTGGGCCAAGTTCTTGATTGTATTTGAAGCTTGACGCTGTTAACAAGATTCTTTGTGTTTAACGTATAGCTGGATGAACTGGTTTAGGTGTCAATTTATTGGCTAACAAATTTTATTGATAAATCACTCTGATAAATAAACATTTTAAAACTGCACATAAATCAAGCTTAGAGCTAAAATACTGTATACAAACGACCATAGGGGTAGCGTTTGCTTGGCAACGCCCGAGTTTGGTAATATCGTTGCGTTCCACCACTGCCAGTAGCCTCCATGGAGGACAGGGTCGCAGCGTTCATCGGATCGCGGCACGCGGGCACTGGGAAGAGCGCTCTGTCTGAACTGTTCCACCTCCTGCTCCAGCAACTGGAGTTGTAGGGGATATATGTTGGCCAGATTGTAGCGCTCGCAAGGATCCTTGTCCAGGTTGAAGAAGCAGGGTGCCTTCAGAGGCTCACACACGTAGATGGGCTCCGTGTAGTTCTGCTGATTGGGTGGACAGCGTTGTGTGGCCTCGGCGCGTAGCTCTGTTATACGTTCATTGGTCAAGGCAGCTGACCCCAATACCTCGTGCACCTTCGAGGAGAGCACATGCTGCACATAGAAGGAGCTAAACGGATCATCCTCGGATTCATCTAAGTCGCCCAGCCAGCTATCGTACTGCCCCTGAAAGCTGCTGCCATTCACATACTTGAGGTTGTCCCGCATGTACGAGGAGTAGCCAAACACATCGTCCATGACGTGCAGCAGTCGACGCGGCTGTGGTTCCCCATTGGTGCTCAATGAGGGCCACAGATTGACGCCGTCCAGCTTTAGATTCGGAGGCAGTGGTACTTCCGCGGCAGCTGCCAGGGTGGGCAGCCAGTCAATGGCATGTATGACCTGATTGGATACGTAGCTGCGCTCTTTAAGCAACGGACTCCAGAGGGCACCCGCAGATCGAATGCCACCCTCCCAAGGTGATTCCTTTTGCTAAAGTCAAGCGAAATGAAGAGACAACCAGCAATGCTATTTTTCGTCTGATACTCACGCCACGAAACGGATAATTGGAGCCGGCATTCGAGTGTATGCCCACAGTAGGCGCCCCATTGTCCGAGTAGAGCAAAATAATGCTGTTGTTTAGCATGTTCCGGTCCGCCAAAGCCTGCATTGTTTCCCCCACACTTTTGTCCAAGCTGGAAACCATGCCTACGATTACAAACCATATTAAGGCACATTCGTTTGATGTACAAAACTAACAACTCTATTCATGATATGTCTCACACTTTAGTGAACAATGCAAATCCAAGGAGGGTCACACACAAAGCATTACGAATCATTTATTTAATGAACTGATGGAAAACATTTAATGTTCTAAGTTGTCTGCCGATTTAAAGCAGCGTTTCAATTGTTTGTTTTTTTTTTTTTTTTGTATTTAATACATTTTTATAAATGTGTCTTCAAATCTCTTTAATGCAGCAAGCTCGAAAAATGAACCCCAAAAGTATGCTGTTACTTATTCGAAAAGAAAAAGTGGATAAATGATCGTAGCAGTAAGAAATATAGCCCACCCAAAATTTGGTATTAGTCTTTCCAATTACACGATGTCCTAGCAGAGTAAGAAGACATCGGCCTGAAAACGCTCCCACTCGAAGCATCTGTCTCTAGGGTCATCTAATTTGGAAAAACTCTCTAATAGTTCTATTAAAGCAATTATTTTAATCATAAAAGTTAACTAAATGAATAGTGATGAAGGACGTAATTCAGGAAACCTAATTACCTAATTACTTAATAACTTAAGGCCTTGATTTTGCTACACAGAATTATTTAGTTGGATGTATTTTGGGCATTTGTGCTCTGTCAATAAATAAATAATACCATAATATAAGGTGCAATTTAACAAATATGTAGTTAATAGCTTTTAAAGAGTACTGTTTACTAATAAACTGAATTTCAAGCTGGAAAAAAATGCCACGAAGGCGTGTCGAAATCATTTAAAACATTTCTTATGCGTTTGCTTTTTGCTCATTTCACTTTTAAAATTCAATGAAAGAAAGCCACATAAATAAAAAAATTTTAAAAAGTGAAATACTTTTACCCCCCACATCGTATAATCACCATTCTTTATGTAAACAAAATGATCTGTAATTTTTATGGCTCCCCTATTTATTCTTAGAAATGGTATAAGGCTCCTTTTATGGGGTTTGATTTGGTTGGGATCGAGGATTTAAATGTTTTTTAAATGTAATGGTTTACATTAATTATATACATAAATTTAGTATAATTTATTACTGTATTGTGGATCAATAGGATAGTTATTTAGAGCAACTTTATTATTAAATGTAGAGAATAAATATAGCCAATTATTTAAGGACTCCTCTTCCCAGGGGTCAAACTTACCAAAGTGGAAAACCTGGACAATTTAATGCAAATAATACTCGTAGTTGCTCATGCATCCTGTTTATCTATTGAGGATCCACACATTCTCTAAATAATATTTAAATTTTCACATTCCGTAGTGCTAGTTTTTTATCCCTTTTCTACCATGTATTACATTTAAATTGTCAATACTCACCGGCATAGGTACGTCGCTTTTGGTTCTGAATGTGTCCAAACTTTGCGACTTCCTCCTCGGGCGCCTGCATGGGATTGTCCTCATTACCCGTATGCACCGCTAAATGGCTCAGTACCATGAACAGGGGTCGACTAGTGTCATGATCCTGAATCACACGTTTTGCCTCTGCCGTAAACACATCGGTGGCATAACTGCCATTGGCTGCTGGCCAGGGGTCTAGATCCCGACGGAAGTCCACGCCTTTCGAGAAATTTCTATTAAGCATGTGATTGCTGTGATCGTAGTAATCTATATAGCCGTTATAGTAGCCGAAGTGATGATCGAAGCCACGCAGTGTGGGCGTCATATCCTTGCGCCAGAATCCGAGATGCCATTTCCCGATTAGCTGCGTTGAATAGCCCGCATCTCGGAAGAACTCGGGCATCAGACGCTCACTCAAGGGCAGACCCCAAGGCTCATCATTAATGATCACAAAGTGCTGCATGCCTAGACAATAAACTATCAGTGAAACGAGTCATTTCTTGATTTCCCACTCACCTGTGTGTATGGGATATTTGCCAGTCAAGAGGGTAGCCCTCGAGGGGGTGCAAAGGTTGGGCACATAGTGCCGATTGAGGATTACTCCGTTGTAGGCCAGGGCATCGATGTTTGGCGTGAGTATTTGGTTGGAGCCATGAAAACTCACATCGTTGATGCCCTAAGTGGCATTGAAATTAGGTGTCTTGTTCGCAATGTTGGCTGTGACGTAACTCACCATATCATCAATTAGAATGATGATAATATTGGGCTTGGTCGAGGCTCCATTATCAGCTTGGCCCCCGCCCAAACAGAGAGTAAGACTCAGCAGCAAAGCCTCAACTGTTCGCATTTCTGAAAACATGATAAAGCTTTTCAATGATTGTACTCCTAACTTCTTCGTTTTGTTAACAATTTTGCATTGTAACAAGATTTTTCATTTATAAAAACAAAATATAAAAGGTAATAACTTTACACTCGTTATCTTTTTATGTGAATCGTAAAACCAAGGCATTCATGCAACCATCAAGGGAGACGAATCATTATTACAGCAGAAAAGTGATTGCATCGACTTAATACAAGCTTAAAAAAAGAGGAAATATGTAGCTTGAACAAATTAAGGCTCCGTTTGAACCAACGCGTTAATAGTACAGCAAGTTAGATTTTCTTATAGATTTCTTCTTCTTCTAGGTATAAGTAAAAATCAATTGTACAAATTAGTTCTATAAAAAGCCCGAATCAAAAAAAAAAGAAGGGTGGAAAACTTTGAAAACCTTCACAATTAATTATTTATAACACACTCTCCGCTCCTTAGTGTATAATTTTAATGTCAAAATTGTAAATAAGCCTCTCATAGTCTTAAATATAATATTAAGTTTCAGATCCCAACTTATTTCATATAAGTCAAACTTTCAAGAATTCGAAGTGAAAAATAAATGAACTGGTTGTCATTTCTGATAGCTAAAAAATAAAAAATAAATAAATAAAAGATGCCTTTAATTTAATATATTTATTTATAGATTCATTTATCCATCTGTTGGTTTGTTCATTTTTTTTTTTTAAGAAACAAGAAATGGGACAAATTCTCTATGATGTTACAAATTAAAAACTACCTTCAAGTGACATTTGGAAATACATATGTATGCTATTGATTAGGAATATATAACAATTATTATGAAAATCGTTGATATATTCTTATGTGAACAAACTAACATACAGTTAAGAAGAACAATTGTTATTGTGAATTGTTATTATGAGTGCTTGATCGCAAAAGGCCTCATAATAATTATTATATATTCCTAATCCATAGCATACAAATTTCCAATTGTCATCCGTAATCACAATCCTATAAGCCCGTTTCTACTTAGAACTACAGCATTTATTTTTTATTTTAACAGCGTCAATTAAAATGTCACATAAATAGTGGCGTTTAGCTATAATAACTAAAATATTTTATAAAATTATTCCGTTTTCATATTTATATTTTGTTACATATACTACATTTATATTATATTATACATTTATATTTGACATTTACTAATTCGATGCGATCGCAACAATCTTTACTTGCTCGATCGTTTTAATGCGATCTTTAAATGTAAACTAACTTACAAAGGTTAAAATAGAAGCTGCTTGTTCCACCTGACTTGTGCCTTTTTCCAAGTTCATTCAACCGCACGCAACAATTGTTAAAGAGTTATATAAAAATATGAATATATTGCTGTTAGTCGTGTCGTTTTATGCTCGTGTATATTTCGTCTCGTAAGTGTCTGTTTACGAGGCGGTTTATCTGAAATCCAAGTGCATGACTCCGATAATGAAATGTTTATGGAACATAAAGTTAAGATATGAGCCACACAATCGTGGCATACTTAAGCCATTCATTAGACTAATTAAAGACCGATTAGAACTGCCAGTCCCAGCGTATTTTTGCATTCAAAATAAATTGCCACACCCCCCCCTATATAGTCACAGCCCCACTCACGCGCACGATCAGGGGCTGAGCTTTATGCATTGGCGCTGATTGGCACGACTTGGCCAGCTAAACGCGTTCCATTTAAGCCGCATTTGTGGCCGGCACAGGTGCCAAGGTTAGGGCTGGCTCGACAGAGACATTGACTGACACGATCAGAGAAGACGTAGCCAAGACCCATGCGTCACGCATCGATAATTAAACGTAGCCGGAATGTGGATGACAGGTTTCTGGCTGTGACTTGCAAATGTTCTGCCACAGAATCTTCGCGGAAATACCCGAAGTAATAGTTGCCCGTCCACAGAAGTTGGCAATAAAAATGAAAATTGGAGTGCCTAGTGACGGCAATTAAAACTGGTTTAGTGGAAGCTTGTTGCACTACTTCACAATAACAATAACAATAAAAATAATATCGCTATGAGGATTTGCTTAAGTTCCAGGGGCCAGGGTCAACATTGGCAACAGCTGTGGCGCGTCATTAAATTAGTTAACGGCTTTTGCCCAAGAGGCCCAGCTGGTAAGACGGGCAACCACTTTACAATTTGATTTTGAAAGAGGTAATACGCGTTGTGTTTGCAATCATCACGCACCATTCTGCCTGTTTCGGTTGAATGCTAGGTCAGACATTTTATCACTCTACTGCTATCGAAATTAAGTTAATGTCTCAGTCTTAAGTGAGAATCAATGGTAAGGTCATCATAGAACACGTTTTTGAAAATAGATTGGAAATGATAACAACTGATTAATGCACTTAAACGTCACAATTTTCTCACTACTTTCAAGTACTTCACTCAATTATGCAATCCCTAAAGTTCAAAGTTGAGCCGCAAATATTGCCAACATGTCGTATTGCGAGAGCTGGCCAAATACTTCTTATCCAATCGTTGTCCAATTGATTCCTCACATTGTCACACATTTTATAATTTTCCCAATTTTACCTGAAAACACTTTGGGGCCAATCGAACGACGCTCACGCGAATAAGCAAGCTTTGGGAAATCGTAAGAAAATCAACAGCTTCTAAAGTGGAAAACCGACATCCAACACTGAACGTTTCTTATTTTTTTTTTTTTTTTTTTTTTTCAGCGCTTCACGGCTGATCCTTCCCGGTGCGCCTGCTCAGCGCGACTAAACGCGCTCTTCGTTTGTGGAAGCGGTATTTAAGCGGCAGCGCTCTATCTGTTTGCTCGACTCCAGCACGACGACGTCACAAGACAAACGGCAGGTTTTTGTTTTGTTTTATTGACTGACGATGCATAGTTTATAAGAGATACAAAACAAATAAACAAAACATGTTTTTGCAAAGATACAGCACAAATGGTAACAACAGTGGTAATGGTCTGCGAAAGAAGCCGCCTTATCAATATATTTGGCGTTTGATAACACGAGCAGGTTCGGCTGAAATGGAAAGTCGTGACAGAGAGCGAGAGAGAGAGAGAGAGAGAGAGAGAGACGAAGAAAGAGGAAAGGAAGGAATATTTTTGTTGCGCATACGCCAAGTGGGACATAGTTGGCATTGGTCAGGAATACTATATTACTTTGCATATATTATTATTACTATCACTATTATCTCTGATCGCAATATACTGAGAGATTTGCGTCTTCTCCAATATAAACAGCTAACGGGCTTATGTGCGTGCGATATCAGAGCCGGTTTGCGGTTCATCAATTTGGCTCTGACTTTGTTTTAGCGGTTTTCAATGTCAAGTTTGTCGTATTTTCAAGCTGATATTAACTGTCAATTAATTGAGCAAAAGGGAGGGTGTGTTGATTATTTTTTTAGGTAAATTAAACAAATCTTCTCATTTTTTGTTGATTATAGCAGACAATTGTTTTATCTAAGAAGATACAATTTTTTATCATTTTCTCAACTATTTATAATCAAGAAACTTTCTTCAGAATTGACCAATCATGATGAAACTTAACATAATCACTAACTAGATGTAATAACCAAAATTCCAAAATGAAAAAAAAAACACGATTTGCGGGGGATCGAAAAAAAACTCAAACTCGTACTTTCTCGGACTTAGGAGAATCTGGATACCAAGTTTGGTTATTCTAGCTCCTATGCTTTCTGAAATCCTTGCGTTCATACAGACAGACGGACAGATGGACCGACAGGGCTATATTGACTCGGCTTGCACAAGAATATATATACTTTGTGGGACGGTTACTGCCTGTTCACTCTTTGGTTACAGACTAATACACTCAATATATAGTAACTGGAAAGAGTGAGCGAGTAATATTTGTATTGCGCATACGCCAAGTGGGGGTCGATATTTATTGTCAATCAATTGGGTGTGTTAATTATTTTGTACGGATAATTAAAAACACATTTTAATATTTATTGTTGGATAATACTGTGCAGTAATAGCAGGCAATTGTTTTATCTAAGGAGATACAATTTCTATCACTTTCCCAACCATTTGTGGTCATGTCTCAAAGGTTCTAAGACTGATATTGGTTTTATTGCATAGTGAAATAATTCAGTTCATCGATTATGTGCTCATTGGAAATACTTATAATTCCACTTTTTTCTCCACTTTCTACACCTCGACCAAAACTTCGTATTTATCCGATTCAACATAACTATCATGTTTTGCGGCGCACACCCGCGATTGGCCAAATAAATTGCCCATGACAACGGCACCGTCCAGGAGAACTCTACAGATGTAGACGCGCTCGCCGGAACTCGATGTTCCAACGGATACGGCATTACGTTCTAGATGGCCATCAAAGCTGCGTACCCATTCATAGCTGCGTCCATCAGTCGCTATCAAAATATCGTAGCTTTTGGTCCAGTATTTCGATGTGGTTCCCGCAAGATAGATTGCACCCGTAGGCAATTTTATTTTGGCCGGATAAACGCCGTTGTTTGCGGGATGGAGCCGACCCACGTAAATGTTATACCAATCGGGATCGAGACCGGCAAAAACGGCACCCCTTGGCAAAGGCAGGCTCACATTCCCGGGTACCCAAGTGTGTATTGTGTCTGAAGGATAACGAAAGTTAGAAGACCAGGCGACTATATCACCATACTAGAAGGCAATTACCTGCAATGCCAGCCTGTGTCGCTGCGCCGACGACACAGAGCGTTATTATAGCGCAGGCTATGGGAAATCGCAACGAAGGCATGCCGCTACGCTTCTCGATACGACTACGAATAGGTACTGAACGATCGAATATGACGAAAGTTTTATAACGTAGCGCCCATTTATGTGCAGAATGATAAGGCCCCAATAAGATAGCAGGACTGGCATTATTTATAGCACAGTTTACTTTTAGAATTGTATGTCCGATTATCAAAAGGAAGTACTTTGCCTCAATTAGTAATCGTGCATGGCATATGGAATGTATTAGATTAAGAGCACACAAATTAATCTTATTATATAAGGAGGTCTTGGAAATGAATACTCGGTGTACATTTTTTAGTGAGTATTCGTTTTGGAAACAGATTTGGCATATTGGTCGAACAATTAAATATGTAAAGATGGAATCAGCCCAGAATTTATTGAAAGTCCAAATTCAAATTTTATTACTACGAACCAATTTAATTGTAAGATGTATAATGACTCAAATAGAAATAGATGGCACGATTTGTTTTTTAATTTTCGGTTGAGTATGCTAACAAGTAATATATTTCGCTAAAATAAGTGAAGGATTTAGGACTGGTCGATGGCACTACTCTAGTGCTTGATGCCTCATATTCGAATGACATATACAAGTATTTCAATATATTGTAAAACAAACGGGGATGAACACAAGCTTAAGTTCGAAATAGAAGCAAAAATGTGGTTTGGAGCATACATCAAAATTGTTTCGATTGTGCTTGTTTAATAATTAGATAGTCTTATTCATGTTTATGTTCTAAGTTACCATAATGTTATGGTGGATAGTGCTGGCAGATAAGGTTGGAGCCTCAAATAATTTTAGTAATTTGTAGCAACATCTGCATAAAAAATATAGGAAAATATATGTAGGGATCTTTAGTGAGTTCCCTACGAGTGAGTAAAAATCTGCTCCAGAAACTCCGTCAATAATAAGTACACCACACGTCGTCGTTTTAATCAATTGAGTACAATATTTATTCATGTGCAAATTAAATCAAATTAAATTAAAGTTTATTCATAACTTGTTCACAACGTCTGCTCGCTTCCGAAGTCAAACTCTTACTCCTAAAACGATATACTTTCTTAGACTACCCTGGACTGACCACCCCGATAGTCCGATGATTATCTGCTGGTTCAAGAGCTGCCAACCCTACATTCGGCCGTCCTGATTCATTATTCGACCCGAATGATGGAGACCACATTTTCATATACTCTGCCAGCGTATTGGTCTTTAATGGCCCTTCACCATCGCCCACTTTCTCAACAATGTACCGGCCATGTCTTAGTTTACGCGTCACAACATAAGGACCCAAGAATTTTCCCTTCAGCTTCAATCCGGCGCCAAATTGGGTACGCTTGATAGCGACCATATCATTGACTTGGTACTCTTTTTCTGGCTTTCGGGACTTGTTGAATAACTTGCGATTTTCATCTTGTATTTGTGCTATGTTCTCTTTAGCTGTCTTGCGAATATCTTCTTTCTCCTGCTGCAACTCCAAAATATACTCTTCCTCTACAAGCTTTTCTATATCACTGTCATACTTGGTTCTCATTTGTATGCCTGTCAGAATCTTAAATGGAGATATCTTAGTACTTCTCGGAGGGGTGGAATTTATAAACGATTGTACCCTACCTACATGCTTGTACCAGGCTTTCGGATCCTCTGCGCAAAGTTTGGTTAACATAGTAGTGACCACCCTATTAATTCGCTCCACCTGTCCATTACCACGCGGCACTCCTGTCGCTATCAGCAAATGTTGGATACTCTGTTCCTTACAATATTCCTCAAACACGTGTGCAGTAAATGCGGTACCTCTATCGGTGATCACGCGCTTTGGGTTTCCAAATACTTCGCCCTGTTTCTGCAACTTGTCAACCACCTCATCGGCGCCTGTACTCTTTGTTGGATAAAGCCAAACAAATTTAGAAAAAGCGTCGACAACTACTAAAACGTGGTTATATTGTTTCCTAGTCAACTCCATCGGTCCGATATGGTCGATATGATATGTTTGCAAAGGCTCATCAGATTTGTCGATTACATTCAAAAACCCTTCTTTCTTTCCAAATTTCGCGTCACTCACAATGCACTCTACACAAGACTTAACAATCCTATCTACTTTCCCTAACAACTCTGGAATAAAGTATTCTCGCTGCACTAAATCGGTAGTTCTTTTAACACCAAAATGCCCTTGACGATGAGCTGTCATTATGATTTCGTTTTCCATCCTGGTTGGTATTACAATCAATTCCTTAACTGGGTCCTTGTGCAAGATTTCATACTTCAAATAAAAGTCGTCGTAAGTACCGGACTCTAACACTTTACAAATTGCTGCTATCCACTCATCCTGACGCTGAGCTTGCTTTATTCGGTGTCTTAGTGAATCTGCCAACAATAAACAATGCACTCTACTCAATGCATCGACGTGTTTCATTTTTGTCCCTGAACGATGCTCAATTTCATAATCGAAGTCCTGCAGAAATATGGCCCAACGAGATACCTTCACTGGAACATCTTGCTTCTTCATCGTTAACGCAAAAGCATTACAGTCAGTAACGATCTTTATCTTTCTACCAAGCAAATAAACTCTCCACTTCTTAAGAGCCTGCACTATAGCGAGTACTTCAAGCTCGTATGAAGGATACTTTTCTTCAGCTGGGGTTGTCTTACGACTCATATATTCTACCGGGTGGAGACTTTGGTCCTCCGAGTCCTTTTGTAAGAGTATGGCACCATACCCATACATACTTGCATCGCAATGAACTTCTGTATAGCCCTTCTGATCAAACAGTTTTAAAACAGGGGAACAGGATAAATAAACTTTTAACTGATTGAATGCTGCTAACTCTTCCTCGCCCATTTTGAAACAAACATCCTTCTTCATCAGATTTGTCAGTGGTCTGGCAACGACAGCAAAATCCTTAACAAATCTACGGAAATAAGATGTGAGGCCCAAATAACGTTGAACTTGTTTCCGGTCTCTCGGAATTGGAAAGCTTTCAACTGCCGAAGTCTTCTCTTTAGATGGTCTTATTGTTGAATTTTCTATTATGTAGCCCAAAAAATTCACCTTGCGCTGTAACACCTGAGATTTTCCCCATTTAATGCGCAATCCTGAAATCTCTGCGAGGCACAATACCTTCTCTAACTTTCTGAGTCCTTCTTGCTCATCTTTTGATGGAATAATGATATCGTCCATATATAGGATCAATGTACCGTCGTCTATCAATGGTCTTAGAACAGCAAATATATACCTCATAAAGACCGGGGGTGAATTAGAAATCCCGAATGGTACGTAATTAAATTCATATTGTCCACTTTGTGTGACGAAAGAAGTATATTTACGAGAATCCTCATGTACCGGGACATGAAAGAAACCATTAGACAAGTCCAATGTAGTGAAAATACGTCCTTCTTGAAGTTTGAGCAAAACATCATCAATTAACACCATTGGAAAATTGTCGCGAATTATCTTCTCATTAAGTTTTCTATAATCGCAGCAAAGTCTTTTTGAGCCATCCTTCTTGGCGACAAGCACCACAGGGGAAGCGTATTCGGACACACTATGTCGAATTATCCCCTCCTTTAACCAATCCCTGATCTGCCTATCGACTTTCTCATTGTCTACGAAAGGTAAACGTCTAGGTCTTTGACGGACTGGTACTTCATCTGACAATATTATTTTCATTTCGACAGGGCTTCTTTCTGGTTTTACTGGGCTATAATTTTCTACCAATCTCCCTATTTTTGACTTCATATCACGGTTCAAATGCGACAGCTCTATTCCTCGTGAAAACTCTTCGATAACATTGGTAGACAGTATTTGACGGAACGCATTTTCCAAATCATTTATTGAACTCGCTGATTCTGAAGGCCTGGTCCCTTGAGTATCACTATGTTGAGTGAACTCTAAGTCACGGCTTCCCTTTGCCAAACTACTGCTAATTGCTTTTTCCGATGAACTGATTCCTTCCATAACCTGGCACCCTTCACTTGTCGAATGAAAGAACACTCCTTTTTTTCCTATGCTCGCACTGACAAAATCGAGAACATCACTTCCGATCACACCTTCGTACAGCGTATCATCGTCACGGACTATGTGAAAACACATTTCCAAAGGAGCATCGTCCAACTTAGTGACCACATTAAACGAACCCAATGTATAGATTTTCTTGCCTCCTATTCCGATCAATTCTTTTACATCATTTTTCAATGCAACTGGGAAAATCTTTCTGTAAACTTTCTCGCTCATCGTACAAATATCGCTGCCAGAATCAAACAATGCAGTGATCTCTATATTACCGATGGCAACATTTTTAAAAGCCCGATTGAAACTGGTCTGAGAAAATTGCTGGACATTCGACATTTTCTTCTCCCTTTCCATTCTTGGACCTTTTGCTTCGCATTGATTTGCCTTGTGGCCTAGCTGATTGCAATTGAAACACTTGACGGCATTTTCTTTGCAATCCTTTGCAATATGGTTGTTACCTCCACATTTGAAACAACGCCTATTGTCCTTGATTTGAATCGAACTATTCTCAAATTTTGATTTTGTCTTTAGTGTACTTCCTTGATTCGAACTGATCTTTTCATAAATTTTAAGTTGCTCACGAAACTCCTTGAAATTGTTTGCTTGGTATAAGCAGCTCTTGTTTTGCTTGGTATCTTGAATGCCTTCAATAATATATTCAATAATGCTTTCTTCATCTAACTGGGATTGACTTGCCAAAGTACACATACTATAGAAATATTCAATTAAGCTTTCCTTATGACTCTTCTTCCTATTTTCCAATAACTTATGGAGCTGCTTTGCTGTTAACTTTTCACTAAATTCACGTTTTAGTGCTTCCTTCAGAGAATTCCAATCATTAATACCGGATTGACTACTCAAAAATAATTTCGCTGCACCTTTTACTAATGTCCTGCCATAAACAAACTTTTGTAAATCATTCCAATTCACTGTTAAAGCATTAAGTTCAAAATCATGCAACCAATCATCAACTTCCGGAGAGCCATTGCCAGTAAATGCTAAAAGGGAATCTTCGATGTCTCTTAATGTGAACGCCATATTTACCGAACTATCCACTGCTGCTTCGTTTACTGGATTTAAAACTTGAGCGTCTTCTGTCTGTTCGTCCCCAGTTATGTTAATCGTTTCTTCATAAATAGATTCCTCGTTTTCGTCTTGATCGAATCCAAAATAGGACAATAGTCTTTCCTGTAAAACTGCTTTAGCGCCTGAATGCTTCAACTGTAACTCTTTCAATTTTTCCTTCAACTCTGCCACTGTTAAGCTTAAAATTTCGTCGCGTTGCATATTACAATATTAGCTTATTTTAAAGTCTGTGAATTAAATTTACATTAAATAAAGTTTAAGTTGAGTCCGCTTGCTTAATTTGCTACACCATGCATTTCTTCTATATGATCAATACTTGCGTATACAGACATCATATGTGAATACACACAAACAGATGGTGCTTTTTCTTCTTGGTCTTCTTTACGTCGTTCGCAGGGAATACAAGCCGCACGTGGCCGTGCGAATGGCCACTGGTATTGTTCGTCGTCTGTTGCTTTCCTCTATGTTCGCAATGCGGGCGAAAACGAATAATGTCGGTTTTCGCCTTTCTTGGTCTGTAGATCCGTCGTTTTCTCCTTTCCTTAACGTTCGCTATTCTTTCGTTCGCCTTGCACGAAAACGAATAGCGTCGTTTACATCTTCTTTACTCTTTACTTTCGTTGTTTGCTGATTTCCTCTACTTTCGCAATGCGGACGAAAACGAATAATGTCGGTTTTCGCCTTTCTTGGTCTGTAGATCCGTCGTTTTCTCCTTTCCTTAACGTTCGCTATTCTTTCGTTCGCCTTGCACGAAAACGAATAGCGTCGATTAAGTCTTCTTTGCCTTCTATTTTCGTCGTCGTTGTGATTTCTCTCTGCTCTGCTTCTACTGTTTGCTACAGTACCTTCGTCTTTGCGTCGTACTGTAGCCTCGTCGTATTTTAGCTCTTCGTCGTTAGCTACTTCTTCGTTCTACACTTTGGACGAAAACGAATGGCGTCATTTTACGTCCTCTTTACTGCGTTTAGCAATGCTGATTCTCTGCATCTGTTTTCGTCTGATCTTCGTTGCGTCGTTCGTGATAATTTCACAATGTTGCGCAAAACTTAGTGGTTGGCAACTTATACATACACGTACACACACATTAAATGCTTCATTTGTACAATTTCTTAATGTTAATTTATAATTTGCACATTCACTTGTGGTTCTATCCCGGACGAGCCCCCAAAATTGTAGGGATCTTTAGTGAGTTCCCTACGAGTGAGTAAAAATCTGCTCCAGAAACTCCGTCAATAATAAGTACACCACACGTCGTCGTTTTAATCAATTGAGTACAATATTTATTCATGTGCAAATTAAATCAAATTAAATTAAAGTTTATTCATAACTTGTTCACAACGTCTGCTCGCTTCCGAAGTCAAACTCTTACTCCTAAAACGATATACTTTCTTAGACTACCCTGGACTGACCACCCCGATAGTCCGATGATTATCTGCTGGTTCAAGAGCTGCCAACCCTACATATATAATTGGCAGGACTGCCGTAATTTCTATACAGCATCTTTATTCTTACAAAATTTAAGCAATTCATCTTGTTTTTTAGAACAACCATTATTTAATAAATAAGACCGTGCGTTGGAACTAACAGAACACACCCGTTTTGTTTCTAAATATCTCCCCAAACTTTTTCCACAATAATTCTTAGAAATGCAGTAAATAAAGATAGAAATATGTCGAGCTGAGTGACAGTCTTGCAAAAAGTTATTATCACTTCTAGGAAATGTAGAGCATTTTGTGATGCCCTTTTAAAAAAGTGCTTCCCAAAGAATAAAGAATTGATTTGATAAACGTATTAATATACCTAAGTGATTCATTACACTACCAAAATTACAAAAATATACAATCTAATCTGCAAGGCATGACTATTAAAAAGTAACTCTTCTCTTGACTACAACTTATCAGATATCGATCCTTAAATAATAACTGATTTATGTGATAATGCTTATCAAAGTTCTTCCCTTCAATAAGCACTGCCAATTGGGCCTATATAACTGAAAGCGGTTGGAGAAGATACCAGCATACTACCAGTGGCAGAAGTAAAACTAACATCCACCATGAATTCGGCTTTGAAATTGACAGCTTTGGTGCTGGTATTCGTCCAGCTGCTCGGTGCCATACACGGCGGAGTCTACGATAATACCAACTTGTGGGTTGCCTCAGACAAGACTCTGGAGTTGCCCGAAAGTGCAGTGCTGGGCGGATTCGATCCTTACGGCTATTATATTTATGTGGGCCGCGTCGTCTACAGCAGTTCCATCTTGCCGGCCCGCATAGTGCCTGAGACTGGCACTGCCACCTACAACACCGAGTCCCTCAGCAACTCTGCTACTTCCTACCAGGTTCTCGTTGCCAACGAGACAGTCAGCTACCATTGGGTGCGAAGTTTCGACGGCTACAGAGAGAAAAATGCCGTCTCTGTAGGCACATCTGCCACCAACGATCGAGTCTTTGTCTGCCGCGCCAAAACCGATGGGGCCCTACTAGTTGGTACCCTGTACTTGGCCCAACGGGTGTGCATCATTAAGTATCAGGATTTGCCACTCCGCAAGTTCGATAAGTACGAGGTTTTGATCAGGAAGAAGGAACTACTGCAATGGCAGCCATTTGGACCATCTAATTAGATCCATAAAAACCTTCAGCCGGCGTTCATAATGAAATGTTCACTGCCAAAGTATCAATAATAAAAAGTATTGCACATTTTCAACCAATTATTGCCGTTTCTTTATCGGATATAGCTACTTGAGGTAGAACTTTGAAGACCTACTCCATACTATCAAAACTAAATACAAATTTATTAAGAGATCTCTGATTCCTTTGTTATTATTAAAATTGTTGACTAAGTGTGTAACGACCACTAAGTCAACAACTATAGGACATCCTTTTTGAAGTGTATCTTCGAATAAAAGGTATGAAGAAGCAAACTAAAGTTACAAATATAATATTATAAATGATACAAATATGAAATGTATTTAAAATAAGTGTTTAGGACACAAATATTTGCATTTCATATGACTTGCTATTCAAATTATCTTTTTGATAAGTAAGAGAGCAATTATAAGTTAAATGTTTTGTAATTGAATTGGATTTAGTTTGTTTGATATTGTAAGGCGATTAGTTGAATTATCGGTATAATCGAAAACAATACGTTAGACTATAAAAAATGTAGTTAAACTCATCTAATAAATTAATTTGGCGTTTACATTATGCTCTCTCTGTCTTTTAAATGAATGAGGCGCAAATACCCAGAAAACTCAAGGCATATTCTTATATGACTCGCATTTTACTAAGTACAACTTAAACTTAAACTCTGCAAACAAAAGCTTAAAACACGCTAGACACGACATTTTAATAAATTCTGGAAATAAAAAAAAATTGTTTTTTTTCTTTCTTTTACATATTTCCAAGACATTGTCTCGATATCATCTACAAGTACTTATAATTCCCACAAATGACGTATGCAGCTTTTCCAAATTTTGATTAAATAATGCAACAAATTAAGAAGAAATAGTCCGCCCTAATAATGAATGTGTGGTGGATTTCAGATTGTGAAATTTATTTCTGAAGATTTAGAGAGGAAAAGGCGCCCCTGCGGCGTTTAGTAAGAAGTTAAAAGACAAGTCTACAAGATACGTTTGGAGCCTCGAGTTCTTAAAATTACCCTTCCTGTTATTCAATATACTCATATATATATATATATATATATATATATATATATATATATATATATATATCTTAAATCTTTGAATATATGTGCCTTTATACATTGTTCCATTTTTCAGCTTTTTCAATTGAAATTTATTTCATAAAAACGTACCTAGGTACTATCTTTTTTTTAATTCACATTCAATTTCCTTAAAATATAAAATAATTCTGATATTCTACAATCAATCCACATCTCTATAATAAAGAATTCAAGGAATTGCATCTACAAGTACATTGAATTCTCGAAAATAATCAAAACTATTTTTTATAAATATTGCAGTCTTTCAAGGACTATTCCATAGGACTATGCATTGCACAAATGGCTTGCAGAAAAGACTATTCTATAGGACTATGTATTGCATAAATAGTTTGCTGAAATATGTTCTGATTTTTCGATCGATATTTAATTTAAAAAGTGAATATATTATTTATATTAGAATACATTATTTATAACTTAAAGCTTTTCATTTGAAACAAACGGTGTACTTCCAAACTAACGATTGATTGGTGGATAAGTGGTTCCATAGAAATAATAAATATATTAATGAATGTTTATTTATTACATATGGTACTCTACTCGAAATTCTTATCGTTTATTATTAATCTACACCTGGTGGTGATAACGGACAACTACCAGGTAGTCTTCTGCTATAAAAGTGACGAAAAGAAAGCCTACTAATCAAACGTTTGCCGTCAACCGATTCAAGATGACCAAATCAACCTTGTTCTTTGCTCTCTTCGCTATTGCTTGTGGCTTGGCCTCTGCTGGTGTTTACAGTAAGTTGATTGATTTTTTGCGATACTTGTAATATAGTCAGTAAACCAAATTTTCTTCCTTCAGATAATGAGCATACATGGGTGGCTGGCAATCTGACCTTAGCCTTCCCCAAAAATCCTGTGCTTGGCGGTTTCGATCCTTATGGTTACTACACCTATGTGGGTCGGGTAATATATAATAATGCGGTGTTGCCAGCACGTGTTGTTCCCGAACTAGGACTGGCCTACTTTAATACGGATTTAGTGAGCTCGAAGGCCTCCAGCTATCAGATATTGACGCAAAAGGCCAATGTCCTGTATACTTGGGTGCGCAGCTACGATGGTTATCGTGAAGAGGACTCCGTTTCCGTGGGCACTGCAGCCAACGATGAGCGCGTCTATATTTGCCGTTCAAAGTCCGATGGGGGCCTGCTGTTCGGCACCCTCTACCTCTCCCAGAAACTGTGCATTATCAAGAGCGACGATCTGCCATTGCGGAAATTCGACAAATACGAGGTGCTAGTGGCCAAAGCTATTGAGTCGCCAGTGAATAACTCCACGATTACACACTAGTATTTATGTGTTGAGTAAAGTAATAAATATGTTATTTATTTGTCCTTGTGAGCATCTTATCAAGCTTTATTGTTATTTAATTTAGCGATTGATTACGCGATTAATTAAGTGTTCGCCAATAAAACTTAATTTATATTTTAAAAACTATTTATTTGATGGATAGATTCAATTGAATGTTTGAAGACTGTTTTTAATTTATATGATTATTTTTCAATACAGTAAGTATTTTTTTGACTAACTTAACACTTTTAGAAAACTGATATTAATGTGGAACTGATAGAACTAGTGTAATGCCACTTAAAAAAAAAAACAGTTTGATTTCAATTTCATTTAATGGCAAATCTTAATATGGTCGAAAGCAAAAAACTATATCAGATGCAGATCAATTTAATTGCGATTAACCATGGAGATGACTTTTAATCTAATTACTTATTAACTGTGCTAGTGACTCGAAATATCTCTTGATATAGTACATATAGTACTTCTGAACTTCGACAATTCGAGCGTGTAAGTTATTTGCATTTTCGACTAAAATAGTACGTGTCTACACACATTTTTCTCTTTACGAAAATACTTGTGTTAATAATTATGCAATTAAAATATAAAATAAACGTTTATGATATTAAAACAGTTCTGTTATGAGGAAAGCATTAATTTGTCCAAAGAGACATTATGCTAATAAAATTCTTATCGGGCTTGCTTGGGATCTTGAAGTTAAAATAAGTATGCGCTCATACCTTTTTTATGAAATAAAAATCTTCAAAAATATGGGGCTTTTAATTCGGATAGGGTGTTCTATTCTGAGATAGGTACCACGGAGAATTTATGAAAAACAATAAAACTATTTCTTTCCAATTTAAAAAGTAGAAGGCGTCCAACCTGAGGCAGGCTTTGCTTTAAATTAGCACATGAAGCCGAATTTAAAAAATAATCCTTGCGGGTTTTGAAAATAATCTTTACCCACAAATGGTTACTTAACCGGACATAACTGTGAGTTGGGGCATAGCTGGCCGGACTGGCTAAAAACTTTCCCACAACGGAACAGAGATTAAGACAAAATGTTTTATATTTATACAAACTTATATTTATTTATTTAATTTATAGTTGCATTTTTTTTAAGTTTCAAATATATTTTTCTTTCTTTTAATTAAATTTTTTCCCGCTGCTTTCAATATTATTATTTTTCTACCACTATAATTCCTTTTCGCTAAATCTAAAAACGTCTCTGAGTTAAGTAAAATTCCACCGACGAGTCGGATTCATTAGATATTATTGTTATTTGACTTTTTCTTTTTATTAACGTATCTGTTTCTTCATCAACAGCTTTGTTTGTCGCCACTGTTGAATAAATTAATGAATAAATAAAAACACAGCTTAGCTGTATTATCTGTTCACGTGTTGTAAGATATATTTTTGTCATTTTCATTTGGTTAAATAAATAACAATATGTTAGCTGTGATAGGATTCGTATGTACATAATACTTAATATTGTATGGATATTATTAAATCTATTCATATTTTAGGCAAAGAATCGAGATGCTTCTGCTTTCCATTCCACTTTAAGATCAATTGTCGAATCTGTAAGGATCCACGGTTCAATTTTCAATTAGAATATACAGTTCCATTGCAGTTGGTGATTCAAGATTATGGCAATCAATTGAGCCTGGCATTACTATTCCTAGTCCTATTCTTTTGTAATTATAGTAGTTCTCTAACATTTTCACAGCCATAGGCCGGTAAGCGTTGCCAGGAAAATAAACAATATAAACGGCAAATTATTGACGCATAAGCATTTGGAGGCAGTACCTGTGCCAACACCAACATCGCCAGCCTGCTGTTCGTCCTCCCACCATGTCCATTCGTTTTTGTAGTAACGTGGATCGCACTTGGGATCAGCAGGTTTATTGGCGGGCGGATGCGCCTGTTTAGCAAATTGTTCAATGCGATCCCACATGTCCAAAAAGAAGCTGGCATTGCGATGATCTTCATATAAATTATTCAGTTCGCAGGGATCCACATCAATGTCAAAGAGACAGGGCGCCTTCAGAGGTAGACAAGGGGTGCCCGGCAACTCTGAGCAGCCCAGTTGTGCTTGCTGCCGGAGAGCAGTTATGTTGCGCTCCGCCCCTCTATTTACCTCCTGAAGATGCTGCCAGACGCTGGTGTTTCGAATGACCTGCTCATAGCTGGCAGCACGGGGATCTATTTCCGTGGCATGGCGACTACCCAGCCACCCATCGTAGGCACCTTCAACTGTGGTGCCATTCACCACCTTCCACTTGCCCTTGGTGTAGGCAAAGTAGGCGTCTGTCTCGTCGATGTTGTGCAAAATCTCACGTTCCACGGACTCGTAGCCGTACTTGAGAGCTGACCAAAGATTCAGGCCATCCACTTTAAGGGTAGGTGGCAGTGATATGCCCGCCGCCTCGGCTAATGTGGGCAGTAGATCGCCGATATAAAAGGGTTGCCTCCACACGCTGCCCAGCTTTTCGAACTCGGTGCTCCAGATGGCCGCTGAGGAGCGTATTCCCCCTTCCCACGGCGAGTTCTTTTGCTGTTAAAACAGTTTAAACACAATGTGATTATGAAACACTTTCCATTGCAAGGTATTAACAGGTTTGACGAGAAATGGAACTTAGTCTTTTGAATTAATTTGCTACGAAAGTAGTCATAGCAGTAGTCAGATGTGAAAATAATAAAAGTCTTAGCAATCCCGTATTTTTTCGAAGTTCACTATGCGAAATTTCTTTTGAATAATGCTTTCCTAAATAGACGAAGGAGGGAACGTTTCCTGAATAAATAAAAATAATTTCCAAAAAATGATTTCAGGACTTTTTAAATCCCCTCATTGTCAACTGATTCGAAATTTAAATACCAATTTTGACTTATCGACAATCTCGTGCAGCCAATCAAATGATCAATATTTACTTTCGCCACTACATGGTGATCCATTTCAATTTTAAAAGAGATCGAAGAAGTTCTCGACCATCCACTGTCTTTTACAAAAAGATTGTCTGTGATGAGATGCCAATGGATTCAACCATTCTTTTTTTATATTTATATTTTAAAAATTATGTCAACTTACCCCTCGAAGTGGATAGTTGGATGCTTTTGTGGCATGCATACCCTCAGTGGGTCCTCCGTTGTCAGATAAGAAGAGCACAATGCTCTGTTGTAGGAGCTGGCGACGGGCCAGCGCATCAATTACTCGACCCACGCTCTTGTCCAGACGCGAGACCATGGCCGCATAGTATCGTCGGGTCTCATCCTTGATATATGCGAACTGTGCCAATTCTTCCGCAGGTGCCTGCATGGGCTGATCATCATTGGCCGCATGTGGCGCCAAGTGGCTGAGCAGCAGAAAGAGTGGCTTCGCCGTGGCATTGTGCTGATCGATTAGCTGTACAGCAGCCTCGGTGAGCACATCAGTCAAATATTCTCCCACATGTTCATGGGACACTTGCAAGTTGGAGCGAAAATCGTGTCCGCGGGAATAATTTTTGCCCTGTAAGCAATATTATTATTATTTACTACTCGGCAAGACGATAAAAGATCTTAAAGAAGCAGCTTTCTGGCAGTTCTTTCCATAAAACGTTCGTTAAAATCTGAAAAAGTATGCCTGCTTACATTTTGCATAAGGGTCTGATCGTAGTAGTCCACATAGGCACCCAGATACCCAAAGTGGTGATCAAAGCCGCGTTCTGTGGGCGTGAAGTTGCGTCTGGACATGCCCAGATGCCACTTGCCAAGCAAACTCGTGTAATAGCCGTTCTGTTTGAAGATCTGCGCCATGGTTGTCTCATTCAGGGGCAAGCCCCAGGGCTGGTCGTTGACAATTACATAATGCTGCATACCTAGTAGTAGTAAAAAGTAAAATAAAGTATCATCCAAGTTAATGAGAAACTCTCCGACTTACCCGTATTAATGGGATATTTGCCAGTGAGCAGAGCTGCACGACTGGGAGTACACATTGCGGGGGTATAGAGATTGTTCAGTATGACGCCGCTATAGGCCAGTGCATCGATATTGGGCGTGAGAAAATGATTTGAGCCGCGAAAACTCACATCATCGAAGCCCTGCAATAAAGGCGGCATTAATTTCGACAGTCTAATATTCTCATACGATAGAATAACTTACCATATCATCTGCCATAATGATAATAATATGTGGCTTGCCATTTGCCTCTGCTTGCCCATTTGCTACGGCTAATGCGGTAGACAGCAGTAAAATTAGCCATGCCTTTTTGTTGTTAACTCTATTGTTGTTGCTGTTGTTTTTATTGTTGTTAGTCTCCGTTGATAGCCGCTTGTGACAAGACATGACGCTGCATGAGGTCGCTGGGGTAACTAAAAAGAAATTAGTGTCAAAAACGCTTTAGAAAAGGAAATTTGCATAGCGTTTAGTTAAATAGGCCAAATAAAACTTGGTTTGTTTGTATCATTAATACGATAATGTATTCTGAGCAGTTGAAGTACTTATATACTGGCAAATAGGTAAGCAACTGCGAAGAATCGCTGATCAGACATACTATAATAGGTTAATGATATTCCCAGGTATTACCTTTTTTGTTCGGATGTTTTTTTAAATTTGTAAATCTTTGTTTAATGCATTTAAATAAATCTGTATCTTGTTAGCATTTTTATTTGTGTTATTCGAAGTAGGTGTTCTGCATTTCGAAATAAATTTTTATCAGAATTCTGTGGGAAACGAAATCCCGGTCTACAACATTTTTCTTATTATTGTCTTTAATTTAATTGGCTTATGTACATGTTTTAATTCTGTTCTCTTGTCGAATCAGAGAGTCTAGCATTTCCGCCGACGACATTAATCGCTTTCGGAGTTAATTGTAAATAGCAAATTAATGTTTAAAATTGTAGATGAACATTTATTGTAATACCCCTTTAACTACAATTGTTCATATTACATTTTGTTTTTATTATTGAGGCTACATCTTTCAAGTTATCTTTCGTATTAAAACATTGACCATTTATTTAAGGTCATTCAAACCGTGAAAGGCCGTTGCATTGCATTTTCAGTACAACAGTCATATTTCGGCTTAAATGGAATTACGGGTTACGATATTAAAAAGTTAATTAATTCTTAATCCCACACATATATGTACACTAATTATAATAAAAACACATCTGCACCTTTTTTCGTTTGTTGAATCAATATTATCAGGGAATTTGTTTAACAAGCTGTGACGTTATTTATTTTCCAAGTAGTTGAAGCAAAAAGTTGAGAAAATGTTGTTGATATTTAAAATAACTGTTGCTTTGCAGCTGTCGCCGTAATTTTTGCATTCAATTCAATTGCCGTAGATTTGGGTATTTATTTTAATTGTTTTAGCGCTGACCAAAGTTTTTGCAAATTCAATGCGATTGCTAAATCATTCAACCAAGAATGACTATAAATTTTACAGCCGGCGAGTTAAATGAAGTGGCGTATACACACACATATACACACATACACACAAACACACACATCCACAGGCACATAAATAAATCTTTATAGGCAGTGTTGATCACGAACAAATAAAAAAACACAATGGGCTGCTTATCAGAATGACTGATTTGCGCTGAGAGAAGATGCACACAAACATACTTACATACTTGTATATTGGCATGTTTGGCACATTGTTAGGAAAAAATCTACTTACAATTAACTATTGAACAAAAACCTGCACCTCGTCGACGATCCGCCACTGACCTGCTACCGGTTTCGTCGATGCTTGACAAGCAACTGAACCCGCATGCGGGTGTTGTGCCAGAGCAGAGCCCCAGATAGCCGATCGTTATCTTCTTTAATTTACTCTAACGAGCATCACAAAATTATGTGAAGATGTGTGAGAGAGCCGGAGAGCTTAATGGCCAGACAAAATGCTTGCATACTTTCAGGCATCGCATATAAACAGATGTGGTCCACAGGCTGAGAGAAAAAGAGTTGCAAGAAGCACATTCTTCCACATAGTATGAGTCATCAATAATTATGATCACTAAGCAATGCTAGATCTAACATCGTGGTGGCTATTGTGGGTGAGTGCAAAACATCAATTGGGACAATTCATTGATCCATTTACTTAACTATGCAGACCAAACATGGATGTCAAATTGGACAAATTTGTGATTAATTATACCTAATCAAATGCATTTCAGCAGAAACGCTTATCAATTAACATGACCCTAAAATGATGTGGATTAAAATAAATAACTCATGATATGGGGAAAGTCGCACTAATGTGTGCCATTAGCACGTTACAATTGGGCAGTCAAAGTGTTTCTGCACCCTTCTGGATTTATATGTATGTATGTACTTTTCAAAAATGCCGGTATACATATGTACAATGTTTGTTCTCTGTCCAAATGCCGGTACCTACAGAGTAATAGTTTGTTGGAAAGATGTTTGAGTTGCTTTAAAGCTGATGCAATAAACGAAGCAATTGTATAAGAAAACCAATTGTGTGGTGAGAGCATACAACGATGAGAGCGTTTAGAAGAAGCAACACCAGCAAGAGAGAACGCTACAGTCGTGCATGCACGACAATAAAATACCCTGAAATCTTCACAAAAAAGGAAACTAAAAAAAATTATTTAAAAAATTTTAAATAACTAATTCAATTTAATTAAAAACTCAAACTCTTACTTTCTCGGTCTTAGGGGAATCTGGATACCAATTTTGGTTATTCTAGCTCTTCTACTTTCTGACGGACAGACGGGCAGACAGACAGACATGGCTACGCTACAGTCGTGCATGCACGACAATAAAATACCCTGAAATCTTCACAAAAAAGGAAACTAACAAAAATTATTTTAAAAAAATTTAATTAACTAATTCAATTTAATTAAAAAAACTCAAACTCTTACTTTCTCGGTCTTAGGGGAATCTGGATACCAATTTTGGTTATTCTAGCTCTTCTACTTTCTGAGTTTCTTGCGTTCATGCGGACGGACGGACAGACGGACTTGGCTATTTCGACTCGTCTTGTCTTACTGATCAATAATATACATATGTATGTATATACTTTGTGGGGTCTGCCATGCCTTCTTTTGTGCGTTACATACATTCGCACAAAACTAATATACCCTTTTACCCTTTGGGTACAGGGTATAAAAAGACCTCAACATAAAAGGTAATACCCTCTACAGATATACTCAGCGCGCTCAATACGCTCATGCGCTCTGGCAGCAGCTGTCGCATTTATTATGTGCGTGCATCTGTTTGCCAAACGCTATTTCTTGTACATCGTATCCAACAGAACTGAGTTCTGCTCAGTACGCTACGTTCTCTCTGCGCTTTCGCGTCGTTATCCGCTTATTTTATTTGGTAGTTGTGTGCCACGTGCGTAGGTCTCATGTGAAGAATTAAATAAGCTACAATTATTTTCACTCTGTACGTTGTGACGGAGACAGTGGCATAACAATTAATATTGATTGAGTTCAGCAAAATAGAAAAATGGAGGAATTTGCCGAATTTTTTGGGTAAGTAATCAGCACCTTGACACTCAATTAATGGCACCAACAAGTGAGTTTCTAAAATTAGTGCGGCTACTGCAAGTAAATGCTGTTGTCTGATATTTTTAGCCTACATTTTGAAGCACCCACAGCAAAAGCAAGAAAGATAAATAAAATGGAACTAAAAAATTAGCATCGTGAATACTCTTCAAAATGTGCCATTCAATTAACATGACCCTTCTGTGTCCGAAATATCTTATCTTTCATTCAAAAGCACTTTTTTATTACATGCATTTGGTCTAAAAAAATACTCTTCAAAATGTGCCTTCCAATAGCACATTTGCGTGTCCGAAATATCTTATCTTTCATTCAGAAGCATTTTTTACTCACATGAATTTGGTCATTCATGGCCTACGAATGATGCAACATGTGGCGACACTGACAACAACATTTATAAAATGTGCAACTATGATATTCTCAGTTATAATATTTTGTCATCTGACATGTAGTCTAAAAATTGTGGGAGGGCTAGTGATTGATCATGCTGATCATATTTGTACATATGAATCAAGCCACGAGGTCTATCCGTCACACCAAAAACTATAAGCCCTTACACTTTTCAGTGAAGGAGATAAAGATGCGCGTGAGGCGCTTGGCTTAAATGGCACCGACATAACATACATAAACAATATCGACGACTCTCGTTGTAAATAACAAACCCAAATATAATAAAATTAATAACATTATGCGAAATCTAAAAGTCTGCTAATCGATTGTGACACTGCAGCCGAGCAGCATGCGCCGAATCACTACTGAGTCATCCATCCATCCAACCATTCATCCATCCAGCAGTGGCGCAAATGCAAGACGTCACTTACACTTAGCGTCGCTCTCGGTTCTGCGGTTTCGCAGAACGTGCGGGCTTCCGCCGGCTGCCTGAGCGCCTCTTTGATAACAATAGAGCTTTCGGTACTCACCACATGCGGCGCACGGACTTTGAGTACGACTCCGAGCTCCGACGATGCGTCGTTCTGATCACGACTTTTTCCAACTCGGGTATTTAATGGCAGTCGCCATCGACCAAATGTTCAGACGTAACTTGATTCTGGCGTCGCTAGACACGCAATACAAATACAACAAATATTTGCAACCGATCAGTTTCTAGAATTGAATTTGTGTGAATCGTTTTCAATTGTTGTTGTTATTGTAATTGAATTCCATTGCCGGGACAAGCACAACAAACAAAGATCGATAAAATGGGTTATTTATTGTGATATTTAAAAGAAAGTAATTAAGGACAACTAAAGCTATAAAACAAAGGGCCACAAAAATAGCAGAAATTCGATTAACAAAGAAGCGAAAAAGGATTAAATAATTGCCAGCAGGTAAGAAGGGAGCTTTTCCAAATTAAAGTCTGCAGTAATTAAGTAACTGCCATATGTAAAGAATGGCAAGCCAGACGTTTTCATGAATAATAAAAATAAATCTCTTCGTTAAATTATATACCCTTTACTTGGTCGAGAAAATTCTTCAAATCAAAGACTCTTACTTGATAAAGATATTCAGGTCCCGTATTCGTTTTCGTTTTCAAAGTTATTCGTTAACTTTTCCCATGAACAATAAATTCGCTTTAAAAATTAAAATAGTGGAAGAAGTTTAAGGCAAATCCTTTGAGACTGCACCTAATTCTGTTTTTACACGGTTTTGATGTAACACTGAAATTCAAAAAATTGATAAATGGTTGCACGACTTTATTCCATTTAGCACGATTTAAAATAACATATATATCAATGTTTTTTTTTTAAACGGTTATTTTTTACGACTTTTTCTGGAAGCAATCTTTCGTGTAAAAACAGAATTAGTTTTTAAAAATTAATCACTTTATTCAGATCATTACTTGATCAAATTAGAAAACATGAATAGGCTTGATTGGATTCAATTTGGGAGATATTTGTAATTATTTTAAAGCAATACAGTTGAGAATTGGCAGGGAAAGGTAGCTTCCATTTGTTTATACATAGATAAACAATATGTTTCATTTTATTTTTGTGCTTATCTCTGAAGCATGTGGAGAGAGCGGAGGATACACCAATAAATCGCTTAGTCATAAATCACAAGACCTGACTTTAATGAGTGTTCGCATCTTTGTCGAAGTTGTAAAACATTAACATGCACCCACTAATTTAGTTATGAAGCCTATAAACGGTGTTATTTTCGGCACATTTCTCTAATAGAATATTGGCCATCCGACTATCTATCCATCCACCCCATCCATCCATCCATCTACCTACCCACAATCTAACAAAGGTAGTAAACTACAACTCGGCTATTTACATAAGTTTTACACACCAATTTGCCAACCTCGCTCGCGCACTACTTGCAAACGTGTTAATATGTCGATTCGATTAACATATAAACAAATTGAAGTATAAAAAGAATTCTTTGGTGTGCAAACTCAGCGAAATGCGCCCTAGCCCTTGCCTTCGAAATGTTTCACTTATTCTTTATAATTACTTACAGCATGCCCACCTGGAGCGTGACGAACGTTTTTCATGTGCTGACACGCAAGAAACCGCTCGAGGATTCCAATGAATCCAAATTGGCCAAAGTGCTATCGGCATTCGATTTGACCGCCCTAGGAATTGGTTCAACGCTGGGCGTCGGCGTCTATGTACTCGCAGGCGAGGTGTCCAAACAATATGCAGGTCCTGCCGTAGTGATTAGCTTCCTGATTGCCGCTGTTGCATCGATATTTGCGGGTCTGTGTTATGCCGAATTCGGTGCACGTGTGCCAAAAGCGGGCTCAGCGTATATCTACAGCTATGTGACGATTGGCGAGTTTATAGCGTTCCTCATTGGCTGGAACCTTATACTGGAGTACGCAATTGGTAAGTTTTCGGTATAAATTAATTGGCATGTCGTCGTTTTATTGATGTCGTTAATTGACAGACAGTTTTTTCGATCGATTAATTTGCCACTAAAATGTTTCCATCTCTCGTTTTGTAGGTTCCGCCAGTGTGGTCAAAGGGCTGAGCACATATTTAGATTCGCTTTGCGGCTATGCTATGCGTGATTTTTTGGGCACACACTTGCCAATAAATATACAGGGCTTGAGCGCCTATCCGGACATATTTGCATTCGTCGTGACCATACTATTCTCCTGGGCCATTGCCTCAGGTGCCAAGGAATCCACGCGTGTAAATAATGTGTTCACAATGCTTAATTTGGGCGTTGTGTTGTTCGTCATAGTTGCTGGACTCTTCAAAGGTGAGTTAAGTAAACTTCTAATGATTGCTTTTACTCATGCAAATCATGACAGTTTCCAGCAGCAATTGGACAATTCCAAAGGAGCAGGTGCCCCAGGGCTATGGCGAAGGAGGTTTTATGCCGTATGGTGTTTCGGGCATTATTAAAGGCGCCGCCGTTTGCTTCTACGGCTTTATTGGGTTCGACTGCATTGCCACTGCCGGCGAAGAAGCTAAGAATCCGAAGAAATCCATTCCATTTGCTGTGATTGTTTCGTTAGCTATGATTTTTCTTGCCTACTTCGGTGTGTCCTCTGTGCTGACGATGATGCTGCCATATTATGAGCAGGACGAGAGCGCACCGCTACCCCACGTATTTCGCATTTATGGATGGCATGTGGCCGAATATGTTGTTACCATTGGTGCCATGTTTGGACTCTGCGCGAGTTTAATGGGTGCCATGTTTCCACTGCCGCGCATTGTGTTTGCAATGGCAAATGATGGTCTGCTGTTCAAGTTTATGGGCGAGATTAGCAATAAATATCGTACTCCTTTTAAGGGCACGCTTTTAACTGGTCTGCTAACAGGTATATTGGCAGCCATATTTAATCTCAGTCAACTCGTTAACATGATGTCCATCGGAACTTTGCTGGCCTACTCTATGGTCGCCAGTTGTGTGCTGATGCTTCGCTATGAGGTCGACGAACGTCGCGACAGTCGACACATTAGCAATGGACGCGCACTGACCCTGGAGGAAGAGGAGCATTGTGCTCTGTGGCGACGTTTGTTTAACATGAACGGTCAGACGGTGCCCACCAGGCAAACATCGCGTATTGTTACTGTAATGGTAACATTGTTTTGTAAGTAAAAAATACATAAATTAGTTTTAGCGTTATAACTAACTTTCAAACTCAACTCTTTCAGCTCTCTGCAGCTACGTTTTCTCGCAGATATTGACCAAATTTGAGGAGGACTTGTCTAACATCACTGAATATGACATTGTAGCACTACTTCTCTGCGCCATCCCGTTAACGCTCATGCTCTACATTATCTCACGTCAGCCCACGTCGGGCGTAAAGCTGTCCTTTAAGGTGCCTCTGGTGCCCTGGCTGCCCGGAATTTCCATACTGATTAACATTTATTTGATGATTAAACTGGACATTCTCACCTGGGTGCGCTTCTCCATTTGGATAGCCATCGGATTGGCCATCTTCCTCACCTATAGCATGCGAAACAGTCGTCTGCGCCAGAAGGAGCAGCGCACTTCTATTAGCATTTTGCGTGATTCCAGCGAAGCCGCACTACTTAGCCAGGAGCGTTCCAAATATGGCAATGAGGTTCCACTGATATTGATGCATAGCACGTCGTGAATTGATATTTTTGTGTTGTACGTCTGCGTGCAAGCGAAAGAAAAACAGTACTTCTGAGTTAGTATTAAAATACAAATAGCCTGTTAAGTTCTCGCGTGCATTTTTGTGCTGCCTCTAACACACACACAACACACACTCACAAATACATACAGACATGTATGTATACTATACACCCATACAACAATTTACACTTCCTATTCTGATTAGGAATCTCATATTATTTAATTTAAAACCAAATATACATACTATTGTAAATACAAAGAGCTTAAAGCAATACAAATAAAACACAAAAATTTATAAACAATATCAATGTTAATATTTGGAAACGCATAAGAGATATAAAGGGGGGTGGCCAAACAATTATTTGCAACAACCGGTGTCAAATAACTTAAGCCTCAAAATAAAAAGATAAGAAATATAACTACAAACGTACCAGTTACAGATATTGAAGATAGCGAAATATGATTCACTTACTTACCAGCATCAATAATTGATATCGAACCCCCTTTTAATTATTTAGTTATATTTCACAAAAAGTTCAATCTCCGGCTATTTGACGAAATTGCAATTGCACTTTTAAACAGTCGGCAACTATAAAATAATCAGCTGTGCGGTATGGCTGTGAGTTTCGATACTTTTGCGTGTAAGTGTTGGGCAACGCATTCAGCCACAGCTGTTGCGTCTGGCGGGAAAAATCTCTGTCGATGATGGACTGGCAGCACAAGTAGCAGCAAGCGGTGCAATTAAATTCGTATTTTAACTTGTGTATTTGTGATAAGTCATATAATACCACAGCGATTGCATTTTAATAACAAAAGATGCCGACGCAAGAAGGCCAGAGGGAGAAGCCGCGGCTCTACTGTGGTATGGGCAATCATACGCTTCAGGAACCATCTACAAAAATCGCATCTATAGGAATGCTGGCATTTGCTAAAAGATGGAATCCAGAGCTGACGCACTCTACCCTTATATGTATTAGTTGCTATGAATTCCTAGAGAAAATATTTCGTTATAAACAAAAGCGAATTAGACAACGCATAGGTCAAACGAATAGAGGCGAACATGACACCAATTCTCTTACGGACGTAAGCTCCAGTGCTTTGAGCACCACCTCCTCATCATCCAGGGGGAGAAGCGCATCCTCCAGGGGGGCCGGCTCATCCCCCAGAGTGGGCGGCTCATCCCCCAGAGTGGGCGGCTTATCCTCCAGGGGGGACACACCTTCATCTCAGCGAAGCGGTCCTACTACGAGCGCAGCGGCAGCAGCAAAACGAAAGCGGACACAAGTAACACATTCGGACTCATCGCAACCCACCGACGATCCTCAGCCTAATAACGATGATGACGACGACAACATGCTAAGTCTGAATGCAGTGAATGGGACACGACTTCCTCACATACAGCCCATTCCCAAAAGACGCCAATTTGTGCACTTGAACAAGGAGGCAATGGATATTTATTTGGCCGGTACCACAGGAGGCTAATCTCAAAGTATTATTATTACTATTGAAAGACTAAAGTTTATTTTTCTTAATTATATACATATGTTTAGAACTAGTTATTTTACTCATTTATTTCTTGCTTTCAATGAAAACAGAAATTTGTGACTATGATTGAATTAGGAAGCAACCAGGTGTTAGTTTTTTATACTCTGGCAAAACGGAGCTGCCAGATCATTGAAATAAAATCGACTCATTGGACGTTATATTTAAAAAACTGAATAGTGTTTATTATTGATTTTGTTCGACGAAAATGTAAATAAACAATAACCACATGTTAGTTAAAGCAACAGGCCGCATAAAGGCCAATGCGTCTTAGCAACGGCTTGTAAATAATAAATTAGGCTCAAGTTCAGCGTCGACCAAGTGGCAGGCTGTTGCATTGGCAACAATATGTTTGTAAACTGTTAAATCGATGCTCGTGAAGGATACAAAATAGTTATTGTACAGAAACTTGGCAGAGAATAGCAGCGGGTTAAAGTCAAATTATCATAAAATGGCGCGTTTTAAAAGCTAAAAAATCAGTTTAAAAATTGGCATAGAACGTAGCCAGCATGGGGAATACGGAAAGCAATGTGACTAGTGGTGTCAAAAAGCAGGCGGGAGTCTCCACACAAGCGCTCTACAAATTTGTCAACCTCAAGGGCGGTGGTCTTCTGGTGGACATGATGAAACGTGCCTGTCAAACCAAACAATTTGCAGAAATCGATCATGCGATTAAGACGAAAGTAGAACCATTTCTGTACAACAAGGGTGCTGGCCGTTACTTTCCCATTTCGAAATTGGTGCTGCTACGTAATCGGGATCGGCCACGTACCAAGCAATTGCCCGAAATACGCGCACTGGAAAATCCCGATGATGATTTCAATATACACGACTATTGCCCAGAGGTATCTGAGGCAGAATACATATCCAATCCGAGTGCTTACCGTTTCGTCTGCTGGGACCTTAATGTGAGTTGTATTTGGCATTGATTTAAATTATTAGTAATGGATTACTTTATTCTTCTGATTATTTTATTGATTGATTTACACCTAACTAATGAAAATCCAAAATAATAGTACGGTTTTTGGCAAATACAGATATTTCTGAACATTTGTTGTCCTCCCTGTTTATAACAATAGAATTTCCACAAATTTCTGTGTGCTTTTACTATAGTGCACAATAATGCTAGTATTACCTACTACTACAAATTTATATTTATAATAGTGCTAAGAATTCCGGAACTCTTGGAAAACCCACTTTCGGGGGTTCCTTCTCCTCCCACCACCACATTGCCTATGTTTGTGTATCTTATCTGTCTATCTATATTTCCTAATCCTGTTACGAAGGAAACTGATATAGTTAGATATTAGCTAGATAGCCTAACCCTTCAGTGCAACTTTATTTAAATCCAATTATTTTTGGAACTATACGTTCTGGCTGATCTATTCCACAGATGCGCGGCGCCGTGGGTGAAACGATTTTGCATCTCTGTTTGCTAAACGCTTCATCGCTGCATGCGGATCTGGCGAAACGGCTGCTTAAGTTTTACCCCAAACTCATTTTGGATATATACATGAGTGACGAATACTATGGCGAGAGTGTCCTGCATATAGCGATTGTCAATGAGGATCCAGCCATGGTAAAGTATCTGCTGGATGCTGATGCCGATGTGCAGGAACGGTAAGTGCCTTACTTCGATTCATTAAGCTAGACCTTACACAATATACATATATAATTTTATTTTAAAGCTGCTGCGGTGCATTTATGTCTGCGGAGGATCAGAAAGCCTCCCGCACAGATTCTCCGGATCACGAGTATGTGGCAATACATCCGATGACGAACTATGATGGCTATGTCTATTGGGGCGAGTACCCTTTGAGCTTTGCTGCCTGCTTGTCGCAAGAGGAATGTTTCCGTCTGGTACTGGCACGTGGAGCCGATCCCGATTCACAGGACACGAATGGCAACACGGTGCTGCACATGCTGGTCATCTATGAGAAAATCGAAATGTTCGATGTGGGCTATGAAGTGGGCTCGAATATACATTTGCGAAACATGCAGAATCTGACGCCTTTGACATTGGCGGCCAAGCTGGGCCGCGTCGAAATGTTTTTCCACGTGATGAGTATAGAACGTGAGATATATTGGCAGCTGGGGAGCATAACCTGTGCGGCATATCCCTTGCTTATGATTGACACAATCAACGAGGAGACGGGCAACATTAACAAGGACTCGGTGCTCAACTTTGTTGTCTTTGGCGATAAATTGGAGCATTTGGAACTGCTGGACGGTGTGGTCATTGATCTGCTCAAGACCAAGTGGGATACTTTCTGCAAATCTCGTTTCTACAAGCAGTTCTATATGTTTGCCGTCTACTTCTTGTTCTCGTTAGTGAGTTTCATATTAAGACCAGGTCCAGATGTCAGTGATGAGGATGAGGACGATGATGCCGCAGTTTCAGCATCCAATAATACTGCACGCTCGGATCTTTATAAAAATGTCAGTCACGAGCACACCAAACGAAGCACCGAAAGCACCGAGTACAGTAAGCATTTCTTCACATTAAATCCAGTTTCGTTTTGCAGATTAATTTCCCTAACATTGCTCCTTAGAAACTTTTTGGCTTAATTTTACTGAATACTATGATCCCAGCGAGGTCGAAACTTTGCCCGCCTGGTGGGAAAATTTCGCCGACTGTCCGCTCATGAATTTGGAATCTGACTTGGCCAAGATGCGCATCATGGCCGAGATTATAAACTTTGTCGGTGCCATTCTCTACCTGCTGGTGGCATTACGTGAGGCCCGTTTTCTGGGCTATAAAATGTTTATTGAAAATTTGGTAAGTTCCTTTATTTATATATAGAAGTTGCTGTAGTTAAACACTTCTTATTGGGCTATAGATGACTGCACCCTCGCGCGTTATGTTTCTATTCTCCTGCTGCCTCATGATGACGATTCCCTGGCTACGGGTTTCCTGTCTCACCGAAATCGATGATCATGTCACTGTCGTAATTATGCTAACTACTGCGCCCTACTTCCTCTTCTTTTGTCGGTGAGAAACCAACTGATATTATCAGCATGTAATCGAATGTAATCGCTTTTTTATTTTTTTTTTTTTAGCGGTTTCAAGACTGTTGGTCCCTTCGTAGTGATGATATATCGCATGGTGATGGGTGATTTGCTGCGATTCGTCTCCATTTACCTTGTGTTTGTGATGGGTTTCTCGCAGGCGTTCTACATCATTTTTCTCACTTTCGACAACCCTTCAACGCCAGAGGATCAGGACGCTGAATCCAATCCCATGCCATCTCCCATGGAGTCCATTGTAGCCATGTTTCTGATGTCGCTGACCAACTTTGGCGACTACTATGGCGCTATGGTGTCAACCCAGCACGAGTATGAAGCCAAGATACTCTTCTTTCTGTTCATGGTCATTGTCAGTGTATTGCTGGTGAACATGTTGATTGCCATGATGGGCAACACATATCAGAAGATTGCCGAGATCCGTAACGAATGGCAGCGCCAATGGGCACGCATTGTGCTCGTCGTGGAGCGAAGTGTGCCGCCTGCGGAGCGTCTGAAGAACTTCATGCAATATAGTCAACCGATGTCGGATGGACGACGGGCCTTGGTATTACGCCTGAATATGACTGTGAGTAATTACAAAGTCCCATCTGCACAACAAACCATGACCTTATCGCCTAACTAAAACTTCTTGTAGGATGAGGAAAAGGAGGAAATGAAGGAAGTACAGGAGATGAAGCGCATACATCAGCGCTTCTCCAAGAAACGTCAGATGGAGCGCGAGGCACGCGCCCGTCGCAGACAGGAGGAATATGAGAAGTTCTTTGGCACCTCAGCCAAGGTGGACGGTGACAATAACAATATGTGAGCTGAAGTCCGGAAAAAAGGGCAAACAGTCATTTCATAATTTTTGAGCATTGCTTAGATGTTGGTATCTATTCGTATCGACTAGATAGCTACTTGTCTCTCCAGCAAATACAAGTATAATACATATATATGTATATAATCTGTTAAAATTGATTAACTTTGTGAAATAAATTGAGAGTCTATGAGCAGTTCAATGCTCTGCAGTTTTAAATGAGCGATATCAGATTGCTTCCCAATTGCCTTCGAGAAAGGGAAAGAGAGTCACAAACGTTGAAAAATTCGTTTAAATAAGTATGACAATTCGTTAATATTAGGGACCGATGTATAGTGTGTCCAAAACGTTGTTTGAAAACGCTTTATATCTTTTAATATCCTGTACCCAAAGAATAATTGGGTATAATAGAGGGTATACTAGATGTAACCTTCTCTATACGAATGCAAGTATCTCAGAATGTAGAAGAGCTAAAATAACAAAACTTGGTAACGAGATTCTCCTAACACCGAAAAAGGACGATTTCTAATGCTACTTAAATGTTAAGTTTAATGAAAAAAGATCAACTGAGAACAAAGTTATAGCATTAATTGTAATCTCTGTCCAAGCTCTGTTTGCAGCCTCGATGTCTGTGGGATATGGAATGCCTGTGGCTTATACTATAAATATATTTGTTAAAGATTTATTATGTTGACCAGATAATACTACTAATGTAGTTTTAATGGCAGCATGGCCTAGCTCATTAAGCAGGCGTTCCCAACCTTTTACCAAAGTGCGAACAAATATTTTTCACTTTGAACAGTACATAAAATTTCCTTTTATCTACGCCGGCGTACTTTCAATTTAGGTTTAGGCGTCTTGCCCAGTGTTATGGGTCGAGTACTAACTCTTTGTTTTTAAATGTTTTATTAACTTTCATACCACGATTTTTTGACTCGGTTGCTTTATTTATACACACCTAATTCTGTTTTTACACGGTAGATTGGTTCCAGAAAAAGTCGTGTAAAAAAAAACCGTGCAAAAAAGACATTGATCATATGTTATTTTGAATAGTGCTAAAAGGAATAAAGTCCTGCAACCACATATAAAATTTTTAATTTTCACACCGTGTTAAATCAAAACCGTATAAAAAAGACCGTGTAAAAACAGAATTAGTTGTAATTCTCATTTTAAGTTGTACTGATAGAGTTGTGTTTCCAGCCGACTATTCAAATTAAAATATTATTATTCAAAGTCGAAGTCTCCATAGTAAGCTAGAACTTTTACACGTATTCGCAAATAATGCCCATGGATACCCAGTTATGTGCCATATAAGTAAGTATCTGTTGAATTTGGGTCTCCATATGTGTATTATCAAGTTCTGCTTAAGAGCTCTAGCTTTACGTTATGCATATTTTGATTGCTCCTCATACAAAATTTTATATTAAAATGGTGCATGTATATACTTGTACTTACCCTCGAATATCGCAGTGTGGCTTATGTTTAGTGTCTGGGATTCGTTTTCAATTTGCTAACAACCACCACCAAGCGCTAATTTATGCCACCCACAAATACTGGCAAGCACTAGCACTACGAGTAACATTGTAAGCATGTCATAAAAATTCCATTTTATGGCTTGGCAAACAAACGCGGCGCATGTCCATGCCCATGTCCAAGTCCATGAAGTTGTAGTGCCAATAATGCGCCATTTGAATTATCATAACAGTTTTATTATGGCCGTCTGGCAATAAAGACGTTCAATGAGCCACAGACTGGCTCATGGACTGGGATTGGAACAGGGATATAGCCATCGACATAGACAGTATAGAGAGTGTGTGTTGGACCGTGCATTGGGGGTTGGCTAGTCGGGCATACTTGTACATATGCTACGAGTATAATGTACATCCGCTTATCGATTGCACAAACACAATGAACTCCAACATATCGCAACATATCTTATCATTATCGGCATCATTGCGTAATTGTAATTGTAGCGAAAATAGTTCGGGAGCATTTATCGTGCCATCACATTACTGCACAAAGGGCCGACAAAGCCGCAACACCTTCCATTCACCTTCCACTCTATAGATGCAAGTATTGTGCCGCTGCAAGTGCAATGAGACAAAGAGCCAATGTTCCCGATCACAGATCTGTAATAATCAATGAATCGCATGTGCGTGGGATTTTGTGAGGATTCTTGCTGGAAAGCCAGACCGGAAACGTTTAGGCGGCATTGTTTGTGAAAATGGAATTCGCTCAGCTCTATTGAAAGTGTTAAAAAGTAGCACTGAGCTGGCTATATAGTACGCTACATGCAACAGCCCTGCTTGACTTTAATTGAGTCTGAATAGAGCAATTTAGGGCATGCTGTGTGCTGCATGATCCCTTTAAGGACTTCCACAAAGTTTCGCGCTAGTTCTGTGAAAAGTTCCCAGCGACAATGTCAACCCTTTGGCAAACACATAAGTAGCAGAAAAAGCGAATGCTCGCTGCCCCTGCGGTTGCACAATGGGCCACATAGCGGCGTTAATGATATGGTACGAGTAGGTCGCTGCATAAGCCCCTCTCCGCCAATCATAACAAAAGTTTAGCACGCCAAAAATTTGCATTTCTGTATCACACTGTGGTGAACGGCGCGTCGTTACGGGCGTCTCACCAACACGATTGGCTTTGGACCAAGCACCTTTGTTAGGCATTTGATTTCAAAACTCCCTGCAGCGACCAGAACTGGTTCCCCAGTTCCTCATAATTCAAATATTCTGCAAAAAAAAAAAAAAATGAACTCTAATTTTAGTTCCATATTTATTTTCGATTTGGTATATGAGCAAGAGCTATCTTCTCATTCCAAGAAAGCAATACACGGTTAAAAAAAATATCTAATCCCGGCCAAGTTTCTGAACCAATTAAATTCGAATAAATTTTGGAATTTTTAAATTTAATTTAATTTTTAAAATGATATACTTTTTTGCAGGAACTGCAAATAATGATTATTTTGTTATTTTAAACGAAAAAATCATTTACTTATAGTAACTTTGAGAAAGCGGGGTCTTCACAGATATCCTTTTTTAAAGATTATCTATCCATTTTCACCTTGATTTATTTTTTTTAAGTTTTGTTCATTCACTAGAAATTTAATAATTGCTTTTGAGTGTTACTTTAAAAATTAACCAATAATTATTATTTTTGGGCAAAACAATAAAACTTAGAAAATAATGATTATTTTGTAATCATTGTGTTATTAATAATGATTACAGTCCCTGATTTTTTACCTTAAAAATTAACAACAGCTTTTTCTGTTTCCGAATTCCAATGACTGGTCTTAAATCGAAATTGGTAAGTATTCCCATACACAACTCTCACGAGTTAGTGGGCTTCACAAGTAGTTAAATAGTAATAGATCACATAAATTTTTAAGAGTCTAATAGCCCTACTATTTGTAAAATTGAAAACATTTTCGAAGTTAGATTCCAAACAAATTGTTGAAATTCGGAAACGATAATATGCCTGATAGTATTTCATGACATGCCGATCTGAAGAATACGGTTTCCGTGGATTTGGCAGATACTTCTTGTAGGTTCTATGCTCTTCATTATATGCGTTGTCTTGGTTTTAAAGTTATAGAAATCCTTTGAAAGAACCTCGATTTTGTGTCTCAAAAGGGTGCTAGGGTACATTCAAGAAACTAATAAAGAACCAGTACTATACATCCAAGCTGCAGGGATCACGCACACACACACACTCGATCTGTAATTACAGTGTTGCCTCTCGGTGTGGAACGAGGTGTCAAATTCTTGTAAACGACAATTTAATCACATGTTTTGTCAACACCATTGTTAAGAACTCTGGCTTCTGCGTTTTTGTTGTATGCGCTAATGGGCAGCTGTTAAATTGAAAATACGCCAAAGGTTTTTAAAAAAAAAAAAAAAAACATTTTGTTGGGTGTCCACCCACTTCCTTTGTTTGTTTAGCGCATTTGAATTTCTTATTTTTTTGTAGTTACGGGTTTCTCACACTTTTGACCTCCGGAGCGGCGCTTTCGCTGAACATTTAAATGTCCGTGCGAATTTTAGCATGATCATCACCAGGATCGGGACTAGATGTGTGTACGAGTATATGGGCACGACCTCGGCGGAAATTGTTTATTTTACTTTGGCTGTGGCCATAAAAATTCGACTCGTGGAAAAACTCTTGTGAAAGTTGGCAAAACGTTTTAATTACACACACATTGTAAAACAATAAAAGTGAACGACCCAAACCAATTCCGGCTAAGGGTTTTGGGCCCGTTTATGAGCTAGGCCCGCGCCTTGTTAGGGCGTTGTAAATGACTTTTAAATGTGCCTTCAGTCCGAGCAGTCGGACTGAGATTGCTTTTTTTAAAAAACATACACGAGTATATTTATACTTTTCAGCATTCACTTTGTTTTGGCTTACAGCAATTTTCCAAGAGCACTTGACGGCTCTTTTAAAAAAAAAAAAAGGGAGAAAGAGCGCGAAGGGGAGAGAAAGAAAAGTTATGGGCTAAGAAAGTCCTTTGGGACTTTTGGGCATGGATAAAAAATGCACAAAGTATTCAAATCAATTGCACATTTAAATAAGAATTATGGCTAAAGCAGCGGTCGAGTCCACTGCCACTCCCAATCCCAATTCCAATTCCAATCCCATTCCCATTCGATTCCTCGAGTCCTTTGCGAATCTTTGACAGCAATATCAACAAAGTTTCCACGCTCTTTTTTAAACGTTTTCGAGTTGATTTAAAGTGAATTATTTATGCAAATAAAAGTGACATTTGAGCAGTGGAAGTAGTAGAAGGAAAAACACAGTTTGCAATTTATTTGGCAAGATTGCGAAACCGGGAGTGTGCAAGGAGTTGTCCTGTTGCCTGGCGCAAGGGTTGCCGCCCTCTGGTCCTTTGTTTGCATTTCAGCTTTGGCTTTTGATTCAGTAACTGTATTTATGGGCGTCCATGAGAGCGAAGGCGTGTGTGTTTGTGAGGTATGCTGTCGAGATTCTTTCTTTTTTTTTTTATATAA